GGCTAGAAGACATTCAGGCACAATAATAGAGGGCTTTCCGCCGCTGCTCTTAGCCCGTTTCTCATGCTGGCATTTGGCCCAGTTCCTACCTACCTGTGCACATACAGTTACGTGGAAGGCCCGCCCCTTTGTGTGAATTGCAGCGTCTGTGTCTGTAGCAATTTATGGGAACTTGAATCATAAAACTTTCTTAGACAAGGAGTCCCTCCCTCCTCATTGTTTCTAAGCTGTAAAAGTGGGTTAAATTAATGCTCTGGGACACATAATCTATTACATGTATGTGTACATAAAACTCTATCACATTTTGTTCTAATTAACAAAATACCCATTAATCTGCTTAATGGGTACTGTTTGCTGGTTTAATGTTACTCTAACAAATAATCAAACTGTTCCTCTCCCTCTGCCTCCATCTCCTGGGGGCATTGGATGAAGGCCCCTTTCGCAGGCGGGAATGACATCACCAGTTCACAAAACAGCTGCTGTATTTCCCTTTATTTATACAACTAATGATGTTTTCACAGAATTTGCTCGTGTTTATGTGTTTTGCTCATTGAGTTATTTCGAAAGTTTCTCCTTTCTCAGGGTGCCGTGTTCATGTCTCCATTTTTAAGTGAGGAGGCTCAGGGAGAGTCTCCACGGGGACACCAGACACCCCAGTCGGCCTGGGACCACCCTGGTCTGCAACGGTGGCTCTGGTGTGGTGTGTGGGGGTCCCCGTTCACTCCCAGAAGTGCCCAGGTTTGGATAATAACCAGAACCTATCTGAGCAATGGCAAGCAAGGGCGGCCTCCAGCCCACTGCTCTCTTTATTATAAACTGATGAACAAAGACATAGAGGGACAGAGGGAGGTCATACACCACACACACACACACACACACACACACACACACACACACACAAGGAAATGAATTCACGTGGGTCTCTGTTCAAGGGAATCCTGCTTGAGTCCATCTGCAAGTAAGGAATCTTCTTTTGAAGCAAATAATACTTCCCCATCTCCCACCAATGAGTCATTTTGTACTGCATGAATTTTACACTACGGTTTTGTCTTAATATATGGCACTCCTTTAACGGAGAAAAGCAAAACACAGAGGAGTGTACAGTATGCTGCCATTTGTATTCCAAAAGAAGGAAGATTCATACACATCTATGAAAAAACTACTACCAGAGGATACATACAAAATTGATGACAGCAGTTGTCTCTGGCAAGGGAAATGGGGTAGCTCAGGGGCAGGGTGGTAGGAAGACTTTTTTAATCCTCCCCAGAGGCTGTTTTATTATTGATTTTAGAGACAGAGGAAGAGAGAGAGAGACATCAATGTGAGAGAGAAGCATCGATCAGTTGCCTCTCATTCGTGCCCCCACCAGAGACTGAACCCGCAACCCAGATATGTGCCCTGCACAGATTTTGAACCTGCAACTTCCTGATGTGAAGGATGACACTCCAACCAACTGAGCCATCTGACTATGGCAGAAGACTTCTAAAAAATACATTTTAAAAATCTCTTGATGATGCCTTTCATATCCCAGGACATGCCTACATTTTGCCTCCGAAACTCAAATCCCCCTTTCCTCCGGCCACCGCCCCGCCACTCAGCTGTCCCTCACCCGCCTCCTGGCTCCAGCTGAGATCCTGGGACTCCGCATTCCTGCCCCTGACAAGTAGGCTGCCTTGGCTTCAATCTTACTAGACAAGTTGTCTCAGCTCCTTTCGCTTTGGGAGAAGACTAATTGGACCCTGTCATTCGCTTTCTTAGGGGCTCTTGACACATGAGGGAAAGTACTCACCCACCAGACCTGTACCCACCCAGAGGTCTAGTGTACGCAACTCAGTTCTCACCGAACCCCATTGACAGCCAGGAGCTCGTTTGAAAACGATCCTCTCAGGGTTGAAAGGAGAATACGGCTACCCACAACCACGGCTTCTCTGCCCCGGGGGTCGGTTTTCTTCTCCTTCCGTCATTTCATCCTGGCTGTCCATGCCTTGACCATCTCTCTTCCAGCAAAGGTTATAGTTGGACCTGAGTGTTCAGTTGATTTCAGTTTAAGATTTTAATTATAAAAGTGAATAATTTTTGCCAACACCAACAGAGAGCTTTTACCCTGAAGGAAGGGCTAAATGTTTATCATTGTACGTGGCAATGTCGGAGTTGGGCCCATCATGGACTGAGCTGTTTTACTCACTCACACATAACTGGAGTTTGTGCATTATTTGTAAGTCAGGCACAAGGTCACCTGGGCTACGAAACCTTGCATTTTGAGGCAGTGCTCTGCGATGGGAAGAGATATATTTGAGCAAGTCACTTAAGAGTTTATCTCCTCACCCTAGCTGGTGTGGCTCAGTGGATTGAATGCCGGCCTGACAACTGAAAGGCAGCTGGTTCAATTCCCAGTCAGGGCACATGCCTGGGTTGCCCGGGCCAGATCCCCCAGTTGGGAGCGTGTGAGAGGCAGCCAATCAATGTTCCTCTCATACGTCGATGTTTCTCTCCCTCTCTTTCTTCCTCCCTTCTCCTCTAAATAAATCAAATCTTTTTTTAAAAAAAGATTATCTCCTTTAATGGTGAAAATGGTAAATTTTGTGTTGTGTAGTTCATTTCTTCATTTACTAGATCAAGTTGTCAATCTCTAGGGCTCCTCTAGGCCTAGAATTTTGTTTTGATTCTGTGACCTTAATTAGGGTAGTCCTAGAAAGATCCGAAACCTAGTTAGGAAATTGGGAATCAGTACTAAACAACTTTTTAAATTGGCATTGTGATTAAGAGGTAACTCGTAAATAAATGCCTCCTTTTCATTTCAAAAACTACAAGGATTATCCGTCAGATTTCCTAGTTTTGCAGACTACATTCTCAGGCACGGCACCCTGAACTTTCTACACGGATGTCACGTGTGCATGCCATCACATCACTTCACCAGGAGGCCCTGGATTGACCCAGGCGTTTGATCTGGAGGAGCAGCACAGCTCCAAACTTCATAACTGACCCACCCTGTAAGGAAAAAACCCGGAGGCTCTTTGGGTGGATTGGTCTACTTTTTAAATGCAGTGGCGCACTAAATATTACTTGTTAAATTGGAAGTTAATCTTTACAAGTAATTACGTCAGGGGCTTATTGCACAATGGTACTATTACTAATTCTGTATCCTCTGGCACCTGACTTCCCTGAAGCTCATCTATAAAATAAGGCGGCTGCACTCAATCAACAGTTTTCAAGTGGTGCCCCGTGGCTCCATGGAGCACCTCGGGGCCTTCCCAAGAGCCCCCAGAACTCCCTGTCCCAGCCAGGCGAGAGCAGCTTCCCTCCACTTCCGTTGGGCTTTCATGTGCAAAACTTTATGAAGGAAAGTTCCCATCATTTAACTGGAAAGTTTGGAAGCCACTGCACTGGGTAACCACTCCCTCCCTCCCAGCAAAATCCTATGAAGTACCACGCTCCCTGCCTGTCTCAGTTGCTCTAGCAGAACAGCAGCAGGATTGCCTCGTACACAGCTCTCACCTGAACAAAGTCCTCGTGTGAGCAAGGTGAACATCTCAATGGAAGCTACCTGCCAGCAGCTGCTGGGCTCAAAAGGAGCCTCCCTTGGGCTCAGTCGTAGCTCCAGAATCACTTAGGAAAGCACACGGGGACGTGCGCCCATGTCCGCAGCACCCCCAGGACACAGCTCGCCTGGGGCTGGCGGTAGGGCAAAAAGTTACGTGCCCTTAGGTCCGCTTGGGGAATCCAGTGTTAGGCACTTACAGTTGAACATGTTGCCCGCTCGCTGCCATGTGCTCAGTGAGGACACCAAAGGTTGAAAAGGCAAGATAACTTTTCCAAGGCAAGTGACAGAACCAGAATTTTTTTTTCTGGGGTCTTCTTAAATTGTGAAATACAGCCTCACGGAATAAAACACGTAGATGCTAATGAGTATTATCAAGCAAACACCTATGTAACTGCTACCGAAGAAATGGAACGTTGTCGGCACCCCGAGCCACCCTCCCCCACCTCGGGCCCCTGCTGTCCCACTTCACTCCTTCTCGCCCAGAGGCAATGCTGGCCTGGCTCTTCAAAGCAGTCACTTCCTTGCTTTATTTTAATTTGTTATTTCACCACCTAATAGATATAAAGCCAGGATTTCTATTCAGGTCTGTGAAACCCTAGTCTATGCTCTTAACCTCAAGATAATGCTTCCCCTTGTTCTATCAGCTGATTTTTTTTCTCAATTATGAATTTGTTTCTCCTTTTAGACCTGTCACTGTCTGCTTCATGTATTTTGAGGCTGTTATTAAACACATACGAATTGAGAATTTTATCTTCCTTTTTTCATTACATGTCCCTCTTGATTTCTTACAATGATTCTTAAAGTTATTATAGCTTATAGCCTTAAAGTCTCCTTTGTCTGAGTTTAATAATGCTACCCCAGCTTTCTTTGGATTAGTCTTCATGGTTTCTTTTCCCATCCTTTTTCTGCCTCAATAAGAGTTGGAGCATCTTTCTACTACATATTATTGTGGCTTCTTGACCTATTTGCAAAGTCATTCAAGTTTTACAGTTCTGAAATATAAGACTAGAAAAAGAGATAAGGAAAAAAGCAAAAAAATGTGAATAACGCCCTGGCCAGGTGGCTCAGTTGGTTGGATCGTCATCCCACTGCGCCAAGGTTGTGGGTTTGAACCCCGGTCAGGGCATGTACAAGAACCTACCAATGAATGCATAAATAAGCTGAACAACAAACTTGATGTCTCTCTCTCTCCAAAAAAAATTGTTTTAATGTGAATGAGTCTAAGCCCTAGCCAGGTTAAGCTTCCAGCCTGACTCACATTCTCCTTTGGCAGCTACATTTCTGCATGTTGAAAGGCTTAGGTTTCGATAAATTAGTGCACTTCATCAACATAACATTCATCACTTAGAGGTTATGTCTAATGGGGCCAAATTAGTAAGCTGTTTATTCAGATACTTATTGCATAACACACTAGTGTATTATATAAACTAATTACACATGGTACTACAACCATTGCCAGTCAAACTATTTTATTGTGCAAGAGAGTCTTTCCGTGGACCATGCAGACCCCGCCTCGGTGGTGGCAGCACCAGGCTGGCGCCGCATCCTCAGCCCTCAGCCCTCAGCCCTCAGCCCTCAGGGAGCCGATGTAATCCTGCAGGAGCACCTGCGCCTCTGCCCGCCGGCTCATTCTGGCGGCCTTACCCTGGAAGCGGCCTTTCTTCCCCGCTCCTTTCCCTTCCAGCACCTCAGCCACCCTGGGAAGCAGACACAGACACAGTCAGGGGGGAGGGAGGTCTTCAGAGGGGAAGCCACAGAAAAACCCAGAGCAGCCCCGAGTCTTTCCCCAAGGGCCGGGGAGAGGGAGGGGAGGACGTGGCTTCCAGAAATCCTTCATAAAAATACCCATGTGCACAAACGTAATATGCCACAGTTATTGTAAGAGTGAATAACTGGAAACTGTAGAAGTGTCTAGATAAATTACGGCCACCTCCAGGGAGCAGGGTGAGTGCACACTTGGGGTAAAGGGCCACAGACATAACACCTGCGGGGAGCAGCAGTGAGGCAAACTGGGCCTGAGGGAGAAAGGTGGGACTGGGGTGACCTGGACACACCTGTCCCGTCTGAAAAGGAAAGAAGGGGAAATATAAGGAGAAAGAAGTTCCGTAAAGCTCCTCGTAGCTACGGACCACGTGGGAATGTGAGCCCAACGTTGCCAGAGTGCCTTCCCCCCCTTTTTTGAAAAAAGCTAGAACTATGTAATTTAGCCCTGGTTGGTGTGGCTCTGTGGGTTGAACACTGGCCTGTGAACCAAAAGGTCACAGGTTCAATTCCCAGTCAGGACACCTGCCTGGGTTGTGGGCCAGCTCAGTTGGGAGAACCAACCCCAGTCGATGTTTCTCTCACACACTGATGTTTCTCTGTCTCTTTCTCCCTCCCCTCTCTCTAAAAAATAAAATCTTAAAAAAAATAATGAAAATAAAAAATAAATGAAAATCTCCTAATTTTAAAATGTAGCAACTAATTTTAAAAGTTTAAAATAGTACACAGGCCAGACCAGTCTATAGGCCAATTCTGGCTACCTGTCAGGAACTGTTTTAAAAGCTTGCTTCCCTACAATGCTTAGTGTGAACACACATTCATCAGAGCCACTCAGGTCTTTGAAAACTCTTATAAGAAAAAACAGGGGGCACTACACCACCATATCTAATTTAAAGTAAGATATAAACAGTAACGGGAAAGGAGTCCCATAAAGTTCTAATTTTTCACTAACAATTTCATCAATGCTTTTTTTTATTTCATTTCAAAAATCCTAATTCCCCTCCTTAAAGAGTTTCTGCCTCTGCTTTGCTAGTGCCTTAAGCACCTGCTTTATCTGCCTACTGATAACCCAGCACCTGTACTCATGTGTAACCTATGAATCCCAATTTCTAAACAAAGAAACAAAACACAGGAGATGGAGAGCCCAAAGACCTGAGTTCAAGTCTCAGTTCTGCCACTTTGTGAGCTCCCAGGCACATGGTGTGCTGGCTCCTGTAAAACTGGGAATGAGAGTTGGTGATAATTATTTCAGCCCACCTCCCCGGTCTGTGATGTGAATCAATACAAGATTGTAGATATGGTGGCTTCTGTCATCAGTAAAGGGCTGAATGTTAGGCTTAACGACGTGCAAGACGGTCCACAGATTACCTGGGCCCCAGGGTCTCTACGGCCTCAGCTGGCCCTGCCAACAGGAAGAGGCCGGCGCCTTTCTCCTCGCCCACAGTTAAGAACAGGAGCGTCTCCTAGGAGGGAAGACAGAGAGATGAACCCTCTGTTACTTGAGGGTTCATCTCTCCTCTAACCTAACAGGTTAGAGCCCCCTAACCTGTGCACTATGCTCAGTCTGGAGAACCGATTTCAAAATCGTATTGCAATTATAAATACATCAAATCAACATGCTGTATACCTTAAACTTATACAGTGTCATATCTCAATTCAAAATAAAACAGCTTTTTCCCCTAAATCACAAGTGATGTTCTGGATGAGTGATGATGCAGACCATCCACTGTGGCCCACCAGAGCCAAGAAACTTTTTCAAAGTGACCACAGGAACTTCGGTTCAATGTTAAAAAGACACAACTGGCCTGGCTGGTGTGGCTCAGTGGATTGAGCACCAGCCTGCAAACCAAGCAGTTGCCGGTTTGATTTCCAGTCAAGGCACATGCCTTGGTTGCAGGCCAGACACCCAGTTGGGGGCGCACAAGAGGCAACCACACACTGATGTTTCTCTCCCGCCCTTTCTCTCTCCCTAACCTTTGCAGCCTGGCTTCCACCTATCCCGTATGCACCCCGTTTCCTAAGCCTCTGTGTTTCCCTCGCCTCCCACCTTTGCTCCCTTGTCTCTGACCACCACGCAGTCTTCAAGGCCCCCTTCCATCAAACCTCCGCATCTTTTCAGGTAAGGTGCTCCTCTGCCTCTAGTGTTTACCACCCTAAGTTATAAATGCGACAGGATGATACAGCGAGATAGACACACTGCTTTGCCCAGAAGAGGTATTCCAAAATGTGGTTTTTAGAATAAATATGAAAGAGAGACCTGGAAGTTAGGACTGGCGGGACGAGGAAGGGCAGCTGAAGCCAGAGGAAAAGGAAAATGGAAGGGATGGCCTTCAAAGGCCTAGCCGATCCTCGTGTATCTAAAATAAGCCCTCAGTCCAGGGTGGCGTAGAGAAGGTCCAGCTCTGCTAAAAGGAGCTTGGAAACTGGTGAATGTCACAGGCCAAGAACAGTCAATACCACAGACCTAGCTCAACACCTCAAACAGAGTTTGGCTCAAAGGTCGGGCCATAAGAAAACAGTACTGAATGAACTGCTATTCCCTGTTCTTCATGTGTTCCTGTAGAGGGACTTCAGCTAAACTAATCGCCTCCTTTAGGTCTCTACCCAGGGCGCACAGAGAACCTCATGCTCCTCTTACCTCTGACCCGATCTCATTGGCAATGATGTTCATGAACTCAGAATCACCCTCCTTCCTACAACAAGAGGCACAGGCTCTGTGAGTCGCGTGTTGAGAAGGAGCTGGGAAGCTGCAGGGTGCCCAGCCCCCACGCCGCCTGCTTGTGCGAAGGCCCAGACACCCTTAGCAAAGAGAAAGAGCGCTGGCTGAGGGCCAGCGCCACGTCCTTCTCAGAACCAGCAGTTCATAACAAGCTTTGCATTTAGTTCTGTCTCCACTTAATAGGATTCACCAAGCCAAACAGACATGTTAGATGGCGAAGGAGGGGAGATGATGAAAGTTAGAGTGAAGATATAGCAAACCCAAGGAATCTTACAGGTCACACATTTCTTAGGGTCCACCGAGCCTTGGGAATACCAGTGAGAGACCCGTCACCCACTAGGCACTGCAACCGGGAGAGACCCGAGTCCTAAAGCCCAGTGCCACCTGCCCCACCTCTCACCTGTGTAATGTGACCACACCTCCCCAGTCAGGGCTATTCCTGAGGCTGTGGGCAATGTGCACGGCCAGGTCTCTCAGCAGATTCAGGTTGTTCTGAAACGGGCAGCAGGGTGGTGGGAGGGATAACGAGGGCGAGGGCGCTGCCTTCCCTCCGCCTCGTTCTCCCGCCCACCCGCCCACCGGGCTCTGACAGACTGCACATGTGGTTGGGTGGGGAGGCTGAGTCCGGGGGCCTATTCCAGGCAGAGCACACGCCCTCTCCAGCCTCCAGGGAACAATCACCTTCTGCAGGAGCTTGGTGGCGTTCTGCAGCTTCTTCACTGCTTCCGCGTGATCCTCTGCGCCACACCTGCTAGAGAAAGGCCCGTGGAGATCTGCCCCACCTCCCAACTGCTTTCGGTGTTGGGCGTACACCCAGGGCACTGAACATCTCTGAATGCCTCTCACCCCCCAGAGACAGGTTATTCTGTCTGCCTTATGGGGAGGAAAGCTAAGCCCCGGGGTGCCCAGGACCTTAGAAACAGGGGGCAACAGAAGGGGACATACTTAAGCAGAGTGGTCAGTGCTTTTTCAGTTCCGTAACTTCTCTCCATCCACTTCAGCACCCGGTTCCCAGCCAGAAATATCAGGTTGGTTTTGTTCTTTTTCCCCTTCTCAGTGCCCAGAATTTTAATGACCTGCACAAGGCAAGGGGGCAGCGCGCACACATGCAGAAACCACAGCGGGTGCCGGACCCGAGGTGAGGAGACACCCAGACCGCCCCCCCAGCTGGGAAGCAATAAAGGAGTGACTTCGCTCAGGACTCTCCAGCTGTCCCCCTCCATCACTCGCAACCCTGTCACGTTCCCATGCTCCTCTAACACCCTCTCTCCCAACCGTTCAAAAGCCCCCCCTCACCCACCTGCAGGTCGCTGAGATTGCTCACATGGGTCCCACAGCACATGTTGGAATCAACACTCTCGATGGTAACAACTCGAATGGGCCCAGCGTGATCATCCGGCAAACCCCGGCCCCTCACCTAGGACCCAGGGGAAGGAGGGGGGCTGTCTGAACTTTGATCAGGAGCCCTCAGAGGGCCGTTCTCCGGAAGCCACTCCACCGGCTCCTCCCTCACCTGCTCCACCTCAGGATCGTCTATGCTCAGTTCTCGCACATTCACAGGCAGCCGATCTCTGATTTTTTCATTGACACTCTGCTCAATGGTAGCTACTTGCTCCGCCGTCACAGAGGGGCTGTCCAGCTCAATCGCACACCGGAGTCGCCCTAACTCCCTGTCCGAAGAAGCAGAAGAGCCACAGGATGTGGATAATGACAACAGTAATAACATAAGGAAGTTTACAGTTTACAAAGAATGGCCATGTAAATTAACTAATTTAATCTTCAGGAAAGTCCTGCAAGGTAAGTTTGTCACTTCCATCTTACAGGTGAGGGGTAGTAGCAAACGTGATCAAGGCCACACAGCCAGGATTCACCTTGTAGGTCTTTAGGCTCAAAATCCTAAACAAAGGCAGGAATCTCTCCTCATCCTAGTGCTTCCCTAAGAAACACAAGGTCATCCACCGCCCGTCTTCAAGATGAACAGGAGAACACGGCAGACCTTGAACGCTGCTCCTTCTTTTACCCCTTACCCCGACCCATTCCTTGGGGAAGCAGCCAGCACTCAGGGGCCACGCTCTACGGTTAGTCCAACGCCTCCTGCTCACCATGATGTTGTCTTCAGCCCAAAGAGATGATCAGCAACTGCTGTGATGAGATGCTGTGCTGAGCAGAGAGAACAAGGGACAGAAGAATGAGAAGCCCAGACAGCCACATATTCCCACAATATCATCACAGAAATTTTCCTTGTTGAAGACTTGTCAGGCAATGGATAATATTTTTTTCAACTGATTTTTATTCATTTATTCCTAGAGAGATGGGAAAGGAGGGAGAAAGAGAGGGAGAGAAACATCACTGTGTGGCTGCCTTTGCACACCACCCACCAGGGACCCAGCCTGCAACCCAGGCATGTGCCCCAACCAGGAATCAAACCAGTAACCCTTTGGTTCCCAGGCCAGCACTCAATCCACTGAACCACACCAGCCAGGATGCAATGGGTAATATTCTTGAGATACATTATTGAAAATCCTCACAAGAATTCTTCAAGAGGCTTTATGATGCCATTTCACAAATGAGGAAACTGAGGCCTAGAGATGTTAAAGAATTTGCCAAAGCAATGCAGCTTATCAGAGGCAGGATTTGAACTGAAGTCCTAATATGCCACATTCATTCAACAAATATTTATCAAGTGCCTACCACATGCAAGGCACAGGGCTTAATATTAGAGATACAGTATTATCCCTGACTGATGACAGGGAGGGGAAGGATGAGAAGGAATTAACTATGAAGGCAATGGGAACAAGACAGCCAAAGGCCTTGAAAGGAGAGAAACAGGATGTGTTCAAGGAACCAAAAGGAAGGCCAGCATGGCCAGAGAGCAGAGAGAAGAGGGAGGGACACCAGCTGAGGCCGGAGCAGCAGAAAAGTCCCAGCCCAGATAGGGCTTGGGCGCCACTACAAATTTAGCTTCGTCATGAGCAACAGAAGACTTTGAAAAGCTATATCACTCTGAATGTGCCTGATCTCATCTGAAAAGCTTTAAATAGGGAAGTGACATGATCAGATTTAATTTTTTTTTAAGCCTCGCCCAAGGACTTCTTTTTTTGCCTTTTTAGGGAGAGAGAGAAACACGGATCAGAGAGAAGCATCGATCGATCATACGCCTCTGCATCACCCAGACCGGGGTCGCATGCACCCGAGTGCGGACCATGGATGAACCTGCAACCCAGGCATGTGCCCTGACCAGGAGCTGGACCTGCAACCTTTGGGTTACGGGACAGTGCTCCTATCACTAAGCCACACCAGCCAGGGGCAGATTTTAATTTTTAAAAGGTTATTTTGGCTTCTTTGTGAAGAATAGGCCGCAAAGAAGCAAGAGTGAACGGGGCGGGGGGAACTAGCCATGCGGCTGTTACAGAGATGTGGGGAAAGACCACCAGAGCTGGGACTGAGATGGTCGCACTGTCTGCGGGAAGAGAAAGACGTATTCAGAAAAGAAACCGGCGGAACTCAGTGACTGACTGGCTACCCCCAAAGAGATGTCTGGACTAACTTGCAGGATTCTGGCAATGGGGTGGCTGCTAACGCCCTGCGCTGGGCACAGACAATGCTAACGGAAGACCAGGTCTGGAGGAGCGGGCAATTTTTTTAAAGATTTGATTTATTTATTTTTAGGGAGAGTGGAAGGAAGGGAGAAAGAGAGGGAGAGAAACATCAGTGCAAGAGAAATATCGACTGGTTTCCTCTCACACATGCCCCAACCAGGAACCAAAACTGCAACCCAAGCACACGCCCTGACTGGGAATGGAACCAGCAGCCTCTCGCCTGAAGGAACGACACCAACCATCTGAGCCACACTGGTCAAGGCTGGGTGACTTTTTAATCTCATTTTGGACATTTTGCATTTAAGAAGCCTATGAGACGTCCAGATAAAGATACCAAATGGGAAGTTAATAATACTCAAATCCAGCAGTTTTCCTAATGCTTTAACTTTAATTGCTCATACTGTTTTCCTAACATCTACCATATCTTGCCTCAATCGGAGCTGATTCTGAATGTTTGTCTTTTCCAAAAGGCTAACTCCCAAAGAGCCCAGACCACATCTCTGTCATCGTGGTGTCCTCGTCCACGGCACCTGTCCCTCCGAGAGACTCCCTGCCCTTGCCGTACGTACCCGAATGCTGCTGCATGTGGTCAAACCTCCGAGCCCAGTCCACCCGGACGTGGACCTCAGTCCCAGGGGTCAGGGGTGTCTGTGTGAAATGATCAGCCTGGGCCCCCCGGCGGGTCACTCTCAGCACAGAGATGTCATTGATTGTTCCACGGTCATCGGGCTGAGGAAAAGAAGTAGGATAATCAGTGGTGGGAGGCAGGGCTCACCCTAACTCCTGGATACAAAGGCCCTCTAGGGAGTGTGTGAGAAACACACCCAGAGTTTGAGATTCCCTATGGAACGCCAAGGGAGGCGGGCCACCTTGTTCCATGAGGGAGCCGTCTCTGTCCTTTTCACTCTCAACACCTCTATGTTTTGTTTTTCAGAATAAAATAACAGGATTAAAACCAAGGTTGTAACAACAACAATGAAGATTTTAGTAAAACCCAAAGAATCTTAATCCTCATTCTCTTAGTTTAGATGATTATTTTTCAATAATTTCTAAAATGACCTGAATTTTCTTCCTTCCCTCCACTCCATCTTCTGCACTTCAGAAGTATTCATTCAGCCCTGGCTGGCTGGCTCAGTTGGCTGGCAGGGGGGTCATCCCATACACTGAAAGGCTGCAGGTTTGATTCCTGGTCAGGGCACATACCTAGGTTACAGGAGGCTACCGACTGATGTTTCTCTCTCACATCAATGTTCCCCCCCCCTTCTTCCTCACCCTCTAAAAATCAATAAAACATATCCTTGGGTAAGGATTAAAATAAAAAATAAATTTAAAATATTCATTCAGTTAAAAGAAATATCAAGTGCCAACTGCTTACGAGACACTGTGCCAGCCTAAAAATACAATGTAAGGAAGACCTGCTCCCTCGTGGAACTTGAGAGTCTGGAGAAGACTAGAGACATGCAAACAAGTAACTGCAATATGACCTACAACATGCCATAACATGAAAAAGTACCTTGTTCTGGAGGAGCTCAAAGGAAAGATAACTAACAGTCTTAAGTAATCAAGGAAGACCTCCTAAAAGAACTGACATATAAAAAGAGATGTTCTAGGCTGCCTGAGCTCACAAATTTTCTTCAGCGGGTCAGAAAACCTGTGCTGGGAAAATCCTTGTAATAACGAGGACACTGCTGTGTGAAATTGGAACTCTGTCACTATCAAGTTTACTGAACATGTTCTCTCATGTCATTGCTTTGCCTAAGTACCCTCATGGCTTATGCTAGCTCCCTGGATAAAGTCCACCTGCCTTATCACATCCTTCAAGGACCTCTGAACTGGCCCCCACTTACCATTCCAAGGTCATCTCCAGCCTGTCCTCCATCAACACACACCATACACTTCAACTATATCTGACTATTTGCAGTTAACGAGACCTGTCAGATTCTTTCAGGCTTCCCTACCTTTGTGCTATTAAAGCCTCTCCCGTAACACCACCTTTGGCGGTGGTATCCGCCTTTCCCATGTTCACACTGGACCTTGTTGCTACCCAGTCACAGCCGTGAGAAGTCTGTCCTCTGTCATGATTGGTCACGGGAATCATTTTTAGTTCCTATCAAACACTAAGCTAAATCCTACCTCAGGGCCTTTGCACTTGCTATTCCTGCCACCTGGAATACTTGCTCCTCCCCCACCAGCACCACTAGACAATCACAATGGCTTAACCACCTCACTTCCCTTAGTCTCTACTGAAATAGTTTGCCCCCTACCTTCGAAGAATATCCCCACACTCCTCTCAATCTTTAATTTTATTTATAGCACGTATCTATTAACAGTTTTGTCTGTCTTCTCCAAGAATGTTAGTATTCTATGTATGTAGAGGAACTGTTTTGTTAACCTCTTATCCTTAGAGCATGGAACAGTACCCAGAATGTGCTATGGTTAGTTGATAAACATTTACTGAATGGACAAATGGAGTGAATTGAACTTCCACCGTGTTCATTACGGCTGGGGGACAGAGGGACAGGAGAGCATTTTCTATCGGGGCAGAAAGGAATCAGGGGTTTCGAGGGAGCGGGGAGGAGGACAGGAGGTGCTAGTTACCTGTCCCCCGCCCTCGGGGAAAAGTAGCGTGTCTTCTAGCACCACTTGAAAGCCGCTCAGCACTTCCTTCTTGCCATTGCTTCCTTCGGTTTGCAGCTCCGCTGGAAGGCAGGAGACCACGGTGGTGGTGAACTGAACAGAGACGGGAGAGAATAAGCCCCGACCCCAGCCCTCATACACCGGGACTGAACCTAGCTGCCCCGACCCCAGCCCTCATACACCGGGACTGAACCTAGCTGCCCCGACCCCAGCCCTCATACACCGGGACTGAACCTAGCTCGGCTCTCCCTCCACAAGGCGCCCTCTTCCCGCACCGCCCCATGTGCTCGGCAGCATCAGGTCCCTCGCCAGGCCGGCCCCACCTCCCGGGCGTAGCTGTCACGCTGACACCGGAACGCCATCGTCGTTTTCTCCCGAGACACCAGACGCGGGGCTCGGCCCGCCCCGACACGCCGGCGGGGGGCGGGGGATGGAGGCCGAAGGGGGACAATCCTCAGTACGGGCGCGTTTCTGCGCAGAAGCGAGAGAGCAAGGACTGGAGTTTGATTGGGTCAAATTTATTGAAAATATTACTTGCAGGCGTTCTGGGCTGTTCAGCAACTGTTGTAAAACTTTGACAATGACCGGAAGACAAAACCGCGTCCTAAACTTGTCAAGGCACTGAATCTAGCCCGTTGGTCTCCAGGAATGCGTTAGGTAGAGGTGGGGAAGGTACTGGCTTGGATGCAAGGCAGCGTGCCTAATAGAAATGTAATGCAAGCCACATTTGTTAAAAATGTATTTTATTTAACTCCACATATCCAGAATATTTTTCATCATGTAGTAGGTATATAAAAATAAGTTTTTTCCCCCATACAAAGTTTTCGAAACCTAGTATTTCACACTGACATCTCAGTTGAAACTAGCCACATTTCAAGTACCGCATGTGACTAGTGCTACCTAATTGGACCCTGTAGATAAAGAAGTTAAAAGAACTTAGCAAGCTGCAATCGATACCTTAAAACTTTAAACCATTTAAAAGTTAAAAGTAACTTTCTGCTCTTTCAAATCGATAAAAGCCTGAAGACTCCAGATGTTTCAGAATTTGGGATTTCTCAGAATGTAGGATTTTTCAGGTAGTAACGAAGAGCGCACACTCCATGTGTTACCTAACGCACTCCATCTGGAACTCTGGAGCAACATCATGCAACCAAACTCATTTATGCTGAGAAATACACTAAATGGCACAAACATACTATAAGTAGCCTCACATCATTTTAGGTCATGTTTTACTTTGCTGAGTTTTGGTTTCTGTTTTTTTTTTTTTTTTTGGTCAGTTTTCAGAACTTTGCAGTTTTCAGAATTGTGGATAGGAGATGTGCTGTACAAATTCAAGTGGCAACTTTGCCACTTATTGTAACCTCTTTGATCACCTATAAAGAAAAAACTTCATTATGTTATAGGATATGAGATTCAAAATTTTTAATGAGATAATAAATAGTAAATTGTAGAATATAATACAAATATAACTTTATATCAGAAGTCTTGTTTTTAAAGTTTAAGAACTAATGTCAGCTTTAAAAGTATAAAGATTTCTGGCACTGGCGGTGGATTGAGCACCAAACTGCAAACCAAAAGGTCACTGGTTTGATTCCCGGTCAGGGCACATGCCTGGGTTGTGGGCCTGGTCCCTACTTGGGGATATGTGAGAGGCAACCGATCAATATTTCTCTCACATGTCAATGTTTCTCTCCCTCTTTCTCCCTCCCTTCTCCTCTCTCTTAAAAACTATAAATAAATAAATAAATAAATAAATAAAAGTATAAGGAGATTCCTGGAGTATGCAGGAAGCTGATGTGGGTTTCTGGCTGGTTCTAGGGATGGTAGTATAAGCCTTATAGCAAAAGCCTGGTTTCTGCTCTGAGAAATCGGAGCATAGATCTGTGCATGGGGAAGAACCCCAGCTTGGTTACGTCTGCTCCCACCATCCTTCTTCCAGCCTCAACAATGAGAGCTAGGAACTCTGACACCCACCCCTCCCTTAGAGGGTAACTATAGAGAGAGAAGAGGCTTCCAGGAGGAAGAAGTACAAGCAGGAAAGAAAACAGACCAGTTCCTAGAGATTTATTATAATCTACATGCTGCTGCTTTGGCTTCTGCTCTACCACATCCATACGTACACATGCTCAGATACTCAGGAGAGCCCTGATGAGTGGCCCAAACACTGAGATTATAGCCAATTGGTAGGAAGTCAGAAGGGCCGCCAGTCTACTTCTTTACTAGTCTGCCATTGATACAGCAGCCATAGTCAAGTAAAAGAAATAGCCTAGGTAAAGAAATAGGAGGACCCTGAATGAAGAGCTTCTAGGAAAGATCTGAGATCCCAGAGGACCCTGGTGCACAGCCAAAGAGCTGGACGAAGGCCTAGGCCCTCGCTTGTCAGAAGACAGCCACAGCATCCTCCCCAGCTCTGCAGCGAAGTTAATTACTTGTTGCATCGGCACTGTCAGAATCATCCTAGGAAAAAGAAAAAGACAAAAGCACCTGTAGAGTATGCAGAGAGTGAACATTTGTGTTCAGAAACGCTGCTCCCTCCCTTCTGCTCTCCCACTTTTCTTTTGTGATTTTCTGAGTCAATCAAGTTCTTGGGAGGCTAATATAGAAGGATTTAAAGTTGAGAAAATAAAGCAAATCGCTAGGACTCAATACACAGCACTGTGTCATATATCATGTAGTTTCAGAATTTCAATTAATGCTACTGCTCCTTATGGCTGTAAAGATAGTCAATGGGGCCAGATCTGCCCTAGGATGGAGAAGCAGAGGGAGCGACGGGAGCGAGGAGGGTCTTGCTGGGGTTTTCGAAGGTGGGAGAACATTCAACCTCCTGTGTCAAATTCAAATTTGGCTAACAGGCACTGAGAACTACTGTATGCTAGGAACAGGGGCAGGAACTTTCTAGTACCTTATTTCTAAAGACAAATAGGAAACTGAAAGGTTGAGGGCAGGCTTTACTTACATCCAGATCATCCATGGCAGGGGGAGGTCTCTTGGTGCTGACCTTGTTCAAAAGCTAGTGGGAAGAGTAAAGTAGTCACAAGAGAGAAGAGCAACCTGCATACTGACGGACCAGAGAAGAACGGCTGCAGCCAAACAACTGCCCTATCTTTAAAGCCCCTAACACATCAGGGGAATGAATTAGAGAAAAGTAAATTGATTTTCTTTTTAAAAGGAAATTTAACACACGGAGCACCCTCCTTATTAATCCAAGTCAGGGTCTGGTAGTATTTTGCAACTTGAGTAACTAGTACTGAAATTCTGAAACCAAATTAACACATGGAAGGGTGCAATTTATTGGGAAATAATGAATTTTATGCTGCTTAGTGTGAGCTTCCCATGAAGTTGTCTGGCTCAAGAAAATACACATATACAACACACACAATAAAGAACAAAAATTACAGAAAAATAGAAAAAGGTTTAGCCAAACTTTTTCAGAACACAGGCTACACTCTATGAATAGCGAGTGAATCTATGTGTACAATTTCACTAATAGAATATTCATATCTCCCATCCCTGCTAAATAAACATTGCATAAAAAAACATAGAGAATATCAGCACCAATAAGCAGCCAGTCTGAGGAGCTCATATATTTCTGCCTAGCCCTGACGACAATCCGCCAGAGAATGTGTGCAGAGACGCAAAGCAGGATCAAGATGGGCAGAAAACGGCATTACCTCTGCGTAATGTTCCACCTGAGCCAGCTCCATCTCTTCATCCCCTTCCCAGTCTCTCCAGTTATCGAAGTCCACAGACAGCCACACCGGCTGCAAGGAAAAGCACAGAGAGTCGCAGGCCGGGAAGGCAGCAGAAGTGTATAGAAAAGTGTGGTTGGGGAGGAAGGGCAATGGGAGTGACCTTCCCTACCGCACCCCTCTGACTAACCCCACCTTCAGACTGCCACGTCACCATCCTCATCCATAAAAATTTACCAAGGACTATTAAGCACAATGCCAGGCATAGTAGGGAAAAGCACAGAAATTCTGCCCTCCAAGAGAAGATGGACTGGGGAGATAACATATCTGAAAATATAACTGTCATAAAGTATCATAGAGTCAACCAAGCAAGACAGGGACAACCCTTCAAAGCCCATCTTCCAAGTCCCCACCCTTAGACAAATAGAGAAGTTATTCGCTCATTCATTTAACAGATACTGACTGAACGCATACAATGGATCAGACTCTGAGATTGGCCCTGGGATTATAAAATGTTCAATACATAGTCCCAGCCTTCAGGAAGCAAGTAGGGAAGGGAAATGTAAGTAAACCATTATAATACAGTGTGGGAAGGGTGGTGGTGAGTTGTATAGGAGATATTTTGGGAACCCAAGCTTCTTGGAGTCACATGACCTTGAAGGATGAGCAGAGGTTGGGTGGGAGAAGGTAGTGGTGATGGAGGCTTTCCAGGAAGGAGGCACAGCTTGAGCAAAGGTACAAATCTGAGAAACAGCCTGACATGTGCAAAAGAGCTGCAAGCAGCTTGCTGTGGCTGGAATGTGAAGTCTGAGGCAGAGAGTCTGAGGCAGGGATATAATGCGACAGAGAGAGGAATAGGGAGGCCATGATCTTATAGTCATGCTGCAGCGCTTGGACTTCGACGTAAAGGGCAGAAGTTGTGAGCTCAAATGCCTGAAAGAGTCAGGAAGATAATGAAAAGGAGTAAAGTGAGGTGGACCACACACCCCATTTAAAGCTCCAACTCTAGGCATTTGGGAATTTTAGACCAGTGTGGCCAAAATCTCCATTTTTCAAGAGAAGCTAATAATCTGAATTGTAGATGAAATGACACTTTTATATATGAACAACTAATCAAAAATTCTAAATATCAGTAACCAAAGTAATTTTTAACACTGTGAAGAGTAGTAAAATAAATTTGAGAGCCAGACCCAACCAGTAGACAGCCAATTTACAAATCTTTAGGAGAAAAGAAGCCACTGCAGAATCTTGAGTAGGGGTGTAGCATGGTCAAATGTGTGTTTAAGACAGACCATAATGGGAGCGATGCAATAAATAGATCAGGGGTGAGCTGAAAATACGCAACAAACTTCATCCAGTGATAGGTGAGGTCAGATTAGGAAGAAATAAAGTAATGGATTCAATACTACCCAGGAAATCAAAGAAGCAGGACCTAGTGAGTGACTAAATGTTGATGGCAAAGGTGGCTACGGTGATTCCCAGACCTAACCCGGGTACCTGCATACATGGATAGAGAGCACAGGAGAAAGAGCAGGCCTCCCCCTACCTTGATATCCTCCTTGGTGAGCCGGGGCCAGGCCACTTTCTCCTTCCATTTCCTCACAAAGCAAGTAATGGAGCGGCCAGAGCGCTTATCCTGAGAGTCCTGCCAGATAGACAGTCTCATTCTTAGGGTATGAGGTTTAGAATGAATCTCCCATTTTCCCAGCAGCTTTCCCATCCAAACCTTATTGTCCCATCCCGTCCTTACCTTGGAGTTCACCTTGGCATAGAACTCAATCTCATTGTACAGCTCCACTCCATCAGCATTCTTGCAGCTGAGGAGACAATGCAGCTGAGGAAATGCGGGAGGCTGAGTGTAGGGCAATAGGAGAAGGGAGATGTCCCTGGGAAACCAGGTTCTACAAAGGGGAGGGCTGTTACCTGAACACAATGCGGTGGTCTTCTATGAGCACGTGGACGTCGGTGCTGTCCTCAACACAAAACTCCATGAACACATACTTGGGCCTGTCATACCACAGGGTCCGGGCATGCTGCCTGAAGGGGAGTTGAGGGGGGCTTCATAGGAGTTGGAGAGGGAAGACTGAGAGCATTTGGGAAAGATGGGAGGAGGGGAAAATATAGGGATATTTTATGCTACGGCCCTCTCAAAATGGAGCTAAATGAAACAAGAGGAGGTGGAAGGGTGATGATGGGAATGGCTGTGTGTGGTGAGGGTGAATCTCGGGAGACCCAAAAGTGTGAGTAGAGTTGGCCCTGGCTGGGTAGTTCAGTTGGTTAGCGCATCATCCTGATGTGCCAAGGTTGTGGGTTGGATTCCCAGTCAGAGTACATAGAAGAATCAACCAATGAATGCATAAATAAGTGGGACAGCAAATCAATGTTTCTCTCTCTTTAAAATTTAATAAAAAAAAAAATTAAAGTGTGAGAGTAGAGAGGTAGTCAGTCATGGAGACCACTGAGGTCGCACTGCCTCTAACCTCCCCAAAGTTACAGAGACGCGGGGTATGGGGTTCCCACGGGACCTCGAAGAACCTGTTGCGCCCAGAAAACGTGGGGCAAGGAATTAATATAAAGGGAAAAGAGCTGCCAGAAACACTCACCGTGCCATGGCGGCTCTTGCTGTCCGGGGCAGGGGCCGCTATCTTTAGATCCTCTCCCCCAGCAGCTGCCTCTCCTTATATGGGCAGGGGAAGGTTTTAGAGGCTGGGAAAATGTGGCCTTACAACCAAGGGAGCCGCACTCCGGAGAGACTGTAGGACAGTATTATCCCTGCAGCCCTTCACAGCGTGGAGTCTCCAGAAATGTACAGATTTAGGAAGAGACAACCCGCCCTCTGGAAGCAGGGCAAGGGCTACACTACTTTAGAAACACACAGAATAACTGATTCACAATAGGCGTCCATTACAAAATTATTGTCCTGAATTAAATCCTCAGGGAAGGCCCGCCCTCCGTGACGTCTGAACTCGGTGACACCTGAGCCCCGCCCACCCGCTCCTCGGGTTTCCCAGCCCCGGCGCCGTTGCCAAGGCAGCAAGGGGGCGCGGCTGACGTGTGGGGCGTTTCCGGGAAGATGGCGGCTGTCGAAGTAGCTGAGGAGCCGGTAACGGTGGTGGCGGTGGCTGGACCAAAGGCGAAGGACGAAGAGGAGGAAGAAGAGGAGTCTCTGCCACCGTGCGAGGCGGTGCGCTGGGCCCCGGTGGGGGCGGTGGCGGAGGCCGGTCCTGGGACGACTGCGTTCTCGGAAGAGGCGGCTGCCGAGGATCCCGGCGCGGCCCCGGGCTCCCCGCCTGAGTCGCCTGGCAGGACACTGCGGCGGCTACGGGCTGAGCGGCGGCGGCTGGACTCAGCGCTGCTCGCGCTGTCCTCGCACTTCGCTCAGGTGCAGTTCCGCTTGCGCCAGGTAGTGCGCGGGGCGCCAGCGGAGCAGCAGCGCCTCCTGCGCGAGCTCGAGGACTTTGCCTTTCGCGGCTGCCCTCACGTCCTGGGTTACTGGGGGCCCGAGGATCCCACCAGCGACGAGGGCGACAGGCTGCCGGGGAACCGGCCACAGTTGCGGGGCGAGGACCAGGTGAGCAGCTGGGGCTGGGGCTCGAGGGATATGGGAATACGACGAGTTGGGAGGGTGGCGATGCTGACGAGGGCGGAGGTAGTAGTGGCGAGAAGCTGACCTGTCTAGGTGAGTACGCGCATCCGGGACAGGAAGATTGAGACAGGTGTGCGGAGCCCGCTGAAGGGCAGGAGGACCGAGAGGCTTGCGAACCTGTGCTGGAAGGTGTCCACCGAAGGCGTGATGACGAGGAGGGCAGCAGAGCAACCCACCAAAGCAATGCTGCTCCCGCTCACCTTATAAAGTACTTAAGTCCCGGCACATTTGCTGACAGAGTGCCCCGACCCTGGAGACTGGGAAAATTGGCTAGTGAAGGGCAAGTTAATTGGAAATCATAGAAATGCAGGTCTAATCTGTCCGTGCTTTCTTGGAATCTAGAGAATCTTTTATCTTTAGACTTTCTTGTCTGATTGAGAGCTTTGGTGAATAGCAGAGTACCTTAGTAATTAAAATGAAACACAACTGATTACATGAATTTTCTAATGCTGGTATTTTAAAACTCCTTCCCCATTCTGCTTAATAACTAGGTATTCTAAGTGAGGTTCCCCTGGTAACCGGCAGGATTCTTTAAGTTAGCCTACCTCAAGAAGTTAGAATCTGTAAACCACGCCAAGGGAACATTGCCTTACAGTCTTTGAACCTCTGCACGTGTGCGGTTGTAGACAGGCGTTGAAGAGGCTCGCTGTCTTTTCTTCACCTTTTATTCTTCAAGTTACAATCCACATATGGCTTTCTTCCCACTTAAGTTGGTATTGACCAAGAATAGTTATCAGTAACAGATACTGAATTATTTTCATCTGAAATGTTTCCAATGCACTCCTATGTTTACTGTTCCACCCACATACCTGGCAGACTCTTAAGGAATGAGAAGGATGGAAAAAAATTTCTATGGGCCAGGTCCTGTTCAGGTGTGAGGAGTACTTCGGGATTCTCTGTGGATGTGCTCTTTGGGTCATTCATTTCACTTTTGGAAACAGCACAGCTTTGCGGGGGGCGGGGGAAGTGTAGTGCCCAGAAATACCTAATAAGCAGCTGTAATCTCATGTGCATATGTTGACACATGAACAGGTAGTGCCAAGTGGGGGATATGTATGAACCAAATGATTTACTTCTTTTCAGTTTCTAATTATTTTAAAGCAGTAGTATATCTCACTTCATAGTGGAAATTATTTGTTATTTCCTACCTTGCACCAGGGCTCAGTGTTCTATCCTTTTAAACTCATTTGCTCATATTCCAATACATAGCATATTAAAACTATTATGGCAAGTGACAAAGTTCAGCAAATATTCTCATGATAATGGAATCAGGATTTATACCTGGTTTCGTTCTTCCTTAGCTTCATAAAATTGGGGTACAATGAAAACACAAAGTTTACCCACTTCTTGCCTCTTGAGCTGGTTAGACAACTTCCTCTAGTCAGAGTTTATCGCAGGAGTCCCCACTTACCCGAGGGGATACGTTCAAAGACCCCCAGTGGATGCCTGATAGCTTGGCTAGTACTGAACATATATATTATATTTTTTCCTATATATACATACCTATGATAAAGTTTAATGTATAAATTTGACACAGTGAGAGATTAACAACAACTAATAATAAAGGAACAATTATAGCAATATACTGTAATAAAAGCTGGGTGAATGGCTTTGGGCCGTTGGTAAGGAAAATAAGGGTCACCTGAACACAGTGCTGCAACAGTCAGTCTGATCAACGGAATGGCTCCTGACTAAGGGTGGGCGCGCAGAGGATATAGCGTGGACCCCTGCATCCTCTGGACAAAAGGGATTGTTCAGGCTCAAGATTTCATAATGCTACTCGGAATTTCAGAACTGTGCACAGTTTAGAACTTTTGAATTGTTTGTTTCTGGAATTTTCGATTTAATATTTTCGGACACTGGTTGACTGCAGGTAAATGAAACCATGGAAGACAAAACCGCTGAGAGGGGAGGACTGTTGTGTCTAGAATGTGTCCTGTACCTGATTCAGGGGCATAAAACAAACGTATATTGAGCACTTACCCTGTGCTAGGCCCTCAGGGTGCAGAGTCAAAGCCTTTGCCTGTCAGGAGTTCGTAGGCTGGAGGAAACAGAATCCTAAGTAAATAATTATAATGTGACCTGAGTTAGGGTAGAAGTGTGTACAAAATACAGTGGAGAAAATGACCAGTTCTGCCTGGGAAAATCAAGGAAACCTTCTCATAAAGGATAGCTAGGCCTGCATTAAGACAGGAAACGGAACAGGATTCTAAGAAAAAACCACAACACTCAGAAAGGATTGGAGAAGGAGTATCCTGAGAAAAGGCTTGTGCTTCCATGTTGAATAAAAGTAAAGAAAGAGCATTGCTTTTTAAATAACTTTGGACAAAAAGTTAATTGTTGTTTTTCATTTGTTCTCTCTCATACCTTACTTCTGGAGGGCTTGGTAAGTACCATTTTAAGGTTAAATTTAATATCCTATAGACTTATAGATCAAAATGCAGCCTTATGCCTGCATGATTTGCTGAGTTTGCTTTGTTTTGCTACTCAAGAAAGGCATGGAAGAACCAGTGTTTGAGTATATATTGGCAAGACTTTACCACCCTGAAGGGATTTTAATAATTTAAATGCAGAAACTGCCTAGTGTCCAACAGTGGGAAAAGGAGTCACTGCTCAGAGTAGCTTAACCAGACATTCAAAACAAAACAAAACAAAAACAAAACACTATTATCTTCCCACCTCCATTACTTGTCTCTGGATATTTTTTCATTGCCCCAGGTATCTGTTTATTCCTTTGATTTTACAAACGTCTATAATACATTGGAGGGACTTTGAATCTTTAAAAAACTAGTTAAAAGTTATAGATCCTTTCTCTGCAACCTTAAGTCCATATTCTCTGCACAGAACATTCAGGAGTTGTCCTGTGGTAATTGGCTACAGAGGATGGCATGGCTAATTCCTGGGAGGCTGTCTTGTCTAAGATAAATTGTCTCAATCCTAACTAGACCTTTGCGGGGAGCGGGGGAAAGCAGTCTTAACAAAAGGCCCCATTGTATTCATATCCTATTTCCAATGAGGACTAATGCTTCTTAAAGAAAACACAAAGTTCATAAATTTCCCTGTATGAAATAATTATTCTTATTTTGAGCCTGTTTTATAAATTCTGTATTTCATCTGGATTATTTGGAAACCTTTTACATTTTGTTAGTTATTACTGTCTTTAGAGATTTCTTGATGTGCCCTGAATTTTTCTTTTCCTATGAAATAAACCTAAGTGTTTTCTCATCTTAGAGTGAGCAGGAGAAACAGGAACGTCTGGAAACCCAAAGGGAGAAGCAGAAGGAACTGATACTGCAGCTCAAAACCCAACTAGATGACCTGGAAACGTTTGCCTACCAAGAGGGAAATTACGATTCCCTGCCGCAGTCCATGGTCTTGGAAAGACAGCGGGTAAGTAGGTATCAGAGGTGCCTCCACCACTCCCTAAGGTTCCCTTGCTCCTTCCGGTGTTTGCTCCTTCCCAGCTTGTTTGCCCTGGGCCTCACTGAGAATCCCTTCACTGACCCACGTCAAAGGGAAATTTTATTGTTACATGGGACCAGTCTTTATTCACACATGGAAACACAAGTTACAAAGCTTTATAATATGATTGAGCTCTATACTTTTGTTGGTTATTATTAATAATAGTAGTGATATATAATAGTAACTAATACTTTCATTGGATCATTAAAACAATTCTACTTCGGCACATTATACAACATAAACTAGCTCTTTCTTCCCTACAACCAGCTGATAGATATACCAGGAATCCAGACTGACTTCAGTGCTGTATTTATTTAAGCAACATCTGGGTAGACAGGTAAATTTGCTGGTAGAAATACAGCTACAGCCCTGGCTGGGTGGCTCAGTGGATTGAACATCGGCCTGCGAACCAAAAAGTTGCTAAACCAAAAAGTTGCCAATTTGATTCCTGGTTAGGGCACACACCTAGGCCAGGTCCCTAGTTGGGGGCATGTGAGGGGCAACCAGTCAATGTTTCTCTCACACATCAATGTCTCTCCCACTCTTTCTCCCACGCTTTCTCCCACCCCTCTCTCTAAAAATAGTCTCAAAAAAAGAAAGGTACAAAAAATTTTAAAGAAAAGAAATACAGCTACAGCCTCCCTACACGTTTGTCTCTCCCTGTGATGTGGCTGCTTCTCTGGCTGGAGTTACATTACATACATTTCATTGTTTCTAGCATTGTCACTGGGATATTTTGGCTGTAATGTACCTTGATGTTTTGTAAAGATTTTTCTTTTGTTGCCTAGAGTAGGACAAGAAGGGACGAGAGCACTAGAAACTAAGAGAAACCAATATTTATTCTCTTGGAGACCTCGGGGGGAAGCTAGTATGAGGCTTTTTGGATCGTCAGCCACTTCGGATTATTCACACTGGTGGTGTCCTGAGTGAAAGCTGCCTAGGCTGGCGGAACGTTCACAGCGAGAGGAGCCATTTCTGTCAGAGAGGAACCGAAGGTTCTTGTTACTCATGTAGAAGTGAAAGGTCTCTCCTTACCTTGATCAGCAGTTGTATCATTTCTCTCACATATTTGAGAGTTATCTATGTCTTTGATTTCTCTTTAAGGGTAGGAGATAAACTAATAAAGACTCTCCTTCGTAATCTTTTCCCTGAAAATTCCAAAGGGTATGCTCATTGCTTGTGGTCTTGATAGGTGATCATAGATGAGTTAATAAAGAAACTGGACATGAATCTGAATGAGGACATCAGTTCACTGTCCACCGAGGAGCTTCGGCAGCGTGTGGATGCAGCTGTGGCTCAGATCGTAAACCCAGCCCGAGTGAAAGAACAGCTGGTGGAGCAGCTGAAAACTCAGATTCGAGACCTCGAGATGTTCATCAATTTCATCCAAGGTCAGAGGACGGCAAACAGATGTTGTGACAATTATATGTATTATAAGTACTAATACATAAAGGTGTCAGTCTTGACGTACTAGTTGAGAGCTCTGATCACTTAGTAAGGAAGCCAGCATGGTAGAGTAGAAAGAACATGGACTTTAGAACCAGATAGCTGAAATCCCAGCCCTGCCACCTACTGACTTCACATCCTCGGGCAGGTTCCTAACCTCGTTAGTCCCGCTCTCCTCACCCATAAAATGATTCATGCTTCCTTCACTCAGCAAATATTTATTGAGCCAACTAGTATATTCCAGTCATTGTTCTACACAATTAAATTAGATATATGCATAAGACTTGTCATGTAGTGGGCACTAGTAAATGCTCTTCTTTAAAAATCTGCCATCAAGGGGCTAAAGAAGTATCGTCTCTCTGTAACTTCTGACTACAGATGAAGTGGGAAGCCCACTGCAGACAGATAACGGGCACTGCGAGTGCAAGGCCGGTGGGAAGACAGGAAACGGCACCTCTGGGACTGGCGGCAGCAGGTTGCCTTCGGGAAACAGCAAAGGTAAGTACAGCTTTCAGATTGGGTGAATCTGTAGAGAGAGAAAAGAGACTAGTGGTTGCCTAGGGCTTAACCAAGTGGTTGGGAAGAAGTGGGGAATGGGAAATTCTAATGGCACAAGGTTCATTTTGGGGATGAGGGTTGTACAACTCAGTGAATATACTAAAAACCACTGAATTATACACTTTAAAGAAGTGAATTGTATGCTATGTGAATTACATTTTAATGTAGCTGTTATTAACAGAAAAAAGAAGCCCAGTGGCATCCTTAACTAAAAAAATGTAAGTCCAGTGACATCCTGGTTGCCTCTTGGATTTATGTGGGACTCATACATAGCTCAAAAGCAAGACTTGATTTCATCTGGTGACTTGTTGAATGCACCCCCGTGTCATTATGGCCCTAACTGATGAGTCACTGTGTTTTCCAAACAGCAAAGGCAGAAGACGGGAAGCGAGTTCAGGAGACGGGGCTGCAGCTGATGCGGCGAGCGCTGGCAGTGCTCCAGATGTTTGCTGTTAGCCAGTTCGGTTGCACCACGGGCCAGATCCCACAGACCTTGTGGCCAAGGGGCCAGGCTGACAGGGACTATTCTCCTTTACTGAAGAGGCTGGAGGTGTCAGTAGACAAAGTAAAGCAACTAGCCTTAAGGCATCAGCCACAGGACCACGTTATCACCTCTGCCAGCCCCCAGGACCTGTCTCTGGGAGGCAAGGACGAGCTGACTACCGCTGTGCGCAAGGAGCTGACAGTGGCCGTGAGGGACCTGCTGGCCCATGGATTGTATGCGTCCTCACCAGGGATGAGCCTCGCCATGGCCCCCATTGCTTGTTTGCTGCCAGCCTTCTCCTCGACCCCTGAGGCCATGCATCCCTGGGAGCTCTTTGTAAAGTACTACCATGCTAAGAACGGCCGCGCTTATGTGGAATCCCCAGCCCGGAAGCTCTCCCAGTCCTTTGCCCTGCCTGTCATGGGGGGCACTGTTGTGACTCCCAAGCAGAGCCTACTGACAGCCATCCACATGGTGCTGACGGAACATGACCCTTTTAAGCGCAGTGCAGACTCGGAGTTGAAGGCCTTGGTGTGCATGGCGCTGAATGAGCAGCGTCTCGTGTCCTGGGTGAACCTCATCTGCAAGTCAGGGTCGCTCATCGAGCCCCACTACCAGCCCTGGAGCTACATGGCACACACAGGCTTTGAGAGTGCCCTCAACCTACTTAGTCGCCTTAGTAGCCTCAAGTTCAGCCTCCCTGTAGACCTGGCTGTGCGCCAGCTCAAAAACATCAAAGATGCCTTTTGATGAGAGTGCCCTGGCCCTACCCCAGCACCTTCCTCAGCAAAGATAGATGGTCAGTCTTCTAAGATAGGAGTAGAGAGTAGGAGGAAGGATTAAAAATGTTCTCCCCAGGCCGAATGACTGCAAAGTCTGGTTTTCCCTGCCAACTTGGCATCTCAGAAAGAAATTCTGAGATTCTTGTTTAAAGAGTGTGTAACGTGGTGTGCAACCACAGTGTACCTGTGGCCCGTGTATCTGAGCCTACCTAAAAGAAATCAGTCGTGGCACACCGTTAATGTACTGACTCCTGCTGCCAGGTCTGGGTTTTAGAAAATTCTCTAACCATTCTCTAGCAAATGGATTCTCTAACCATTCTCTTTGTGATGGTGAGTGACAACATGAGTGCGTTGTTGATCCTGGAAGACATTTGAGTTGAGGCTCCTGTAAGTCAGGTTGGGAGAAAGGTCAGCGGAGGCCACGTAGAGTCCATAGCTGCCTCCAAGACCAGGACAGTGAGATTCTGAGAACAGCATTTCTGAGGGAGTTAACCACAAGTGAATTTTAATGCGAACCCTTTCTCATGTAGAGTTAAGAACTGAAGTCCCTTCCTGATGAGGTGGTCCTCTTCTCATGGCACCGATGATGGTGTTTTGATTTTTGAGAGGGTTTATAAGGAGTGACAGCCATCATCTGGTACCGTGTCCTCTGGCAGGTAATCTATCTTCTGTGCACCTCCTAACAATACACTGACAATCTTCTGAGAAGTAGACGTGTTAAAGGTATACTTCTCAAGAGAACCCTTGCCACTGAGTCAAGTGTGGATAGGAAAACATCAGTGACCAGCAGCAACTCCTTCCTGAGCTGTGACTCCATTCGTCCCAGAGGCTGGATGAGGGAGGAGGTCTGATTATGCATTAAGTACTACAGCGGGAGTGGGAACTACTGCTGCTATCAGGCGAGGGGCTGAGCACTTCATTATAAAACCGACTCCAGATCAGTCCTATTTGGTCCTCGGTATTTTAGCCTTTTTCATATTTGCCATTCAGCCTGCATACTGCTCCAGGACTGGCCTACGACGGGCAAAGTGTTACCACTTTCTAGAAAACCAAATGGGCCCCCAACACTACTGATTCAGCATGTTTCATGTATTAAATTGCCAGCTGCACTTTACGTCTGCACTATTATGTAGTGCATTTTAACTTAATTTTTTCCCTCAATGTTATTTAAGATGTATTGTTGAGAATTCATTAGAATTAGTTTTCCTGTGTGAAGCAGAATAAATGCAAATGCTGTGAAAAAGGATATACCTGTGGTTGCTAATAAAATCTAGTATTTTGTGTAGATTCTCTATAAAGATCTTAGAGATCCTTGGCTTTGATTTGTAGGTGTATCTGGGTATTATCAACCCATCTGACCCAGATCATTTCCTTGCACTACGTCTGGCTCCTGGCCTTTCTGCTTTTTCTCTGCCCTCTGCCCCGGGTTAATTCAGCTTTGTTGGTGGGTTTTTCCCCTGAGTAAATTTGCTAAAGAGTGCCCTTGGCTTTATCATCCCATCTCACCCAGGCCTGCACGTGCATCCCCACAGCAGGTGTCACCACAGATGCCACTTCTGGAATTGGCACTTTTAAACCCATTTGTCTAGATATCATTTAGGGTGGGAAATAGCTGGTATAGCTATATGGACATAGGCCCATATCACCCCAGTATTTTTCTAATCCTCAAAAACTAATATTTATTAAGGCTTTGTGCTAGCTTATGGGAAGCATTTTTGTTTGTGCCATCCTAATTCAACTGTCACTACTTGTAAGGCAGGACATTGTTATCCCCATTTTGTAGCCGAGGAAATGGCAGAAAGGTGAAATATCTTGTCCAGGTTTACATGATGAAAAGACCTGGGATTTGAATTCGAGTGGCCTGAATCCACATCCTATAGTCTTTGTACTGTATCATGTTACCTCATTGAATCATGCTGCTTCTAGATCTTTTGTTTCTCTCCTTTGTCCACACCCTCACTCTACCATCACTTCAGGAAAGAGAAGATATTTTCCACGTACCTGCCAGAAATTTCAGCTGCCAAAGAACTGGGCTGCAGGGCAATGGGCATACAGCCATTGCTCTGCCAAGTTCTTCATGAAACAAAGATGTGTAGACACAGACAACCCCAGCAGCATCTCAGCAGATACCTGCTAGTCACCAGCATCATCTGCATTATAACAGGACAGAGCTCTGCCCTTCGCTTGGAGTGAGGCAGACAGAACAAGGGAGGAGAAGAGGAATAGTCAGCCCTGGTCTACGGGTGTGCAAGTATAGAATGGAAAATGCATGTGTATCCAATGAAAGTGCAGGGTCTGTTGGAAAGATTTCTAAAGTCTACATTATTCATTACTGAGTGTCTATCAACGCCTGGGCCAGGCTAGGTACTGAGGAAAGATAAGAAAAACATATTCCCTGCTTTCAAAGGACACACATGTAGCTAAGGAGAGACCAAGCCAAATGGAGATTTAGGTGGCTTGTTAAAACCCAAATTGCTGGGTCCCATCCCCAGAGGGTTTTATTCGCTAGCTCTGGAATGGGGCCTGAGAACTTGCATTGCTAACAAATTCCCAGGTTTTGTTGCTGCTACTAGTCTGGGGGTCACACTTTACGAACCACTGATCCAAACCAACTAAGATATGTTCTATAATAAAGATGAGTATGAATTAGATTACTGAAGGAACCCAGAAAAGGAAGAGATTAATTCTACCTGGGAGAATTCTGAAGTGGTTTTGAAGAATGGATAGGATTTTTGTCTGGCTACAATGAAGAAGAATAAAGACACATGGAACAGCCTGAGTAAAGACCCCAGGTCTCAGAAGAGGTTGAATTTTTGAGTTGCTGAGCTGGATGGATCACAAAGGGTACAGGAAGGGTGTAGAGGAGTCCAGATCTTATGCTGAAGGAAAGGTAGAAAGGAAAGGAGAGGTCAAACTTTGGTACAAAGAGTCAACAAAGTATTTCAAGCAAGTAAGTGGTGGACTTCAGAGTTGTGTTTAGAGAAGCTTCCCAAAATAAGATACACATCATACGGCTCCACTCCAGGCCTGAATTAGAATCTTTGGGTTAGAGATGCACCTTTAATAAGCACCCCAAGCAATTCCAACCCACACAAAAGTTTGAGGAGGGACTGGAGAAGAAAAAGAACTCAGGCTGGATCAGTTAGGGAGCAGGTGTAAAAGGATAGAAAAACTTAAGACATAAGGTAAAATTCACAGAATTTAGTTACTGATTTGATGGGGAGAGTGCGAGAAGAATCTAGGCAATTATAAGATTTCAGGGTTTGGTTTGTATTTTCCAAGGGAGCAAGAGCAAGAGGCAGAAGCAGATAAGAAGGCTAGGAGGAGTCCATGGAAGCAGAAATGGACAGGCTAGTATCTTACAGTAGGAAGAGCACTGGGTTGGGAATGGAGGGACCTTGCTCTGTGTCACCAACTCTGTGACTTCGCTGCTGTAGAACTGTCATTTTTGAGAGGGCAGAGTAGATGACCTCTGAGGTCCCTTCCAACTCTAAAATGTCATATTCCAAGTGAAAGTAGAAAATATTTTAACTGAATATAAAAATATAAGCACATAATTAGGGTGATAAACCATTGCAATGGTGTTCTAAGGGCTGCAGGGAAACATTGGTGCCTGAAAAATCTCAAGAAGGGACTGATGAACCTGATTGGTCCCACATCTTGCCAGAGACCAGTCCTAGAGATTTTTCAGTGTTCGGATGAGTAAAAACTACAAGATGGTTTCTCTTTTTTTGCACTCAGAAGACACCTAAAGAACCATCTAAAAACACTTCCAGTAAGTAGTGGAAATTCAATTTGCGAGCCGAATAGGCCTGAGTTGAAACCTAGATTTGACTCTTACTATTGATTAGGTTCAACCTCAGAAAGGTAACTTATCCTTTCTGAATCTCAGTTTCCTCATGTCTAAATGCGAATATCCAAGATGCAGAGTTGTGAGAATTAAATAGGCTGTCGACTTAAATAGCACAGAGTGGGTGCTCAGTGTGGTGACAGGGTAAACAGAGTAGGCTCAGGACTGCCTGAGACTGTGTCCCAGCTCTAGCACTAACTAGCCGTGGGCTTTGGGCAAATTACTTAATTTGTCTAAACCATGGTTTCTTCGGCTATAGAATGGAGATAATAGTACCCATCTCCTAGTGTTGATATGAAGATCAGATGAAATAATATACGTAAATAGATTAACTCGACTTAACACAGGGTAAGCAGCTGCCAGCACCATCGTCGTCCTTCTCCTCCTTCACTGCTTATTCTAGTCTGTAATGCCTAAACATCACGACACTCTAAATGCTGGGAACAAGAGTCTTATTTGATTGATATTCGTCTCTCCCTCTTTACCCCTAACAACGGTTCACACGGTGGACCCTAAAAAATGTCCCATTTGATTCCCTGACTCTTCCAAAGCAAGAAAGGAAATTTCAAACTCTGTCCCCTCCTAGCGCCAGAAAAAGGAACTACAACCAAGGGGGCCCCGGAGCTGCTGAATCAAAAGGCTGCGAGCATACTAGCCTTCCTAGCTCTTCTACCGGTTCGCGAAAGACGGCGCTCTGTGGCTCTTTTCTACGGCTGGATCTGCTAATAAAGTTTGATTTGAATTAATGAGAGGCCAGGGCCTGCTTTCCCGACAACGGCTTCTTCCGCCAGCAACCCACAGTCTGAACACCTCTCAATAGGCGGGTCGAGACTTAAGGGCATTACCGGAAGTGAGATCACAGCCCCCGGGGTGAAAGGTTAGCGGAAGTGCAGTTCTTTCCTTTCTGCTCTAGGCCCGAGCGACTGCTGTCGGTGAGTAGAGAGTAGGGGAGGGTCTTCTAATCCACCGCCATCCGCGGTCCGGGGGTCGAGTTGTGGGACGGTACTGAGTACGTACCGTTCCTCGGTCTCTGGCGGCTTCGTAGTGGATCCTGTCCTGTGAACAGGGCTCGCGGAGGCCTGGGCCAAGACGACAGAAAGCGCAGCCTGAAGTTCCGGCCCCGCACGCAGCTGGACTTAAGGATTTCTGAGCGGCCCTTTGTTCCTCTCTGCAGAAATGGGCAAGTTTATGAAACCCGGGAAGGTGGTGTTGGTCCTGGCGGGACGCTACTCCGGACGCAAAGCGGTCATCGTAAAGGTACCAGCCGCGCGAGCCTGTATACCCGTGTTTCCCAGGAATCGGGCTGATTTCGGAGGGCGGCAAGCTTGGAATTAAAGAACTAGTTTAGGACGTGGATCCTTGAGCATTGCGGGTAGAGGTGGGGATGGAGAGAGCTTTTGGAAGAGGAAAATGGAAAATAAAAACAAACGATCTAAATTGGGCACACACAATGCGTCCTCTACCAAAGAGATTTGAAATAGTAATTATGGCTAACTTTTATTGAACGCTTGTTTGGTTCCTGGCACGCCGATTTACAGGTGTTTTCGTGTCCATTCCTTGCTGTAACCACTGGGGATTCCTTTAGAGGTGTCGACTAGTTAACCTGAGGTCAAACAGGGAGTAAGTGCAGCAGCTGGGATTCTGTAAGAAAAGGAGAAGTTGTTTCTACCCAAAATGGTCATTTAGCATATTTTTTCCCTTCGCTATTTGCCCTCTACCTACATCTTTTATTCTCTTGAAATATCTGTAAGCGCTGACCACGTACAGTACTGGTGTTAGATGTTTGGCAGACACTGGTACTCGCAGTTCCTCTTCCCCTACCGACTTGAGACTGGTCTGTGGACTTCGCCAGCCAGTTTCGGGATCCTGCCTCTCCACCCCTTACCAACAGTGCAGTCGTGGACGAAGTTAAGGATTGTAAAGTCCAAAGAAGTAGTCCTTGGCACATAGCAAGCACTTCATAAATGTTAACTTATTTTAAACCCTTACCTCCCAGGAGCCTTTCCAGATTCTTCCTGGTGCACATGAATACTGCTCTTACCTTTACTGCTCTTCAAGTGTCTGTTTTGTGTGGTTTTTCCCTATGAAGTAGTGGGTCTCAGAGACTTGGGAGTGGGGGTAACCCTTCTGTACGTGCCGTACCTACATCTAAGATGGCCTTGGTAGGCCCTGAATCGATAACAAATGCCATTCTTGCTCATTCAGAACATTGATGATGGCACATCAGACCGCCCTTACAGTCATGCTCTGGTGGCTGGAATTGACCGCTATCCCCGCAAAGTGACAGCTGCCATGGGCAAGAAGAAAATCGCCAAGAGGTCTAAGATCAAGTCTTTTGTGAAAGTGTATAACTACAATCACCTCATGCCCACAAGGTGAGCATTTCACAGGTGGGAATAAAAGTGACTATTTGTTTACTCTCAACTCTGCCTTGCTGGGTAAGGAGACACCACCTTGCAACCATGCCAGTGTGGGGGGGGAAGGAAAATATACCGTTTCCAATTTGTGACTTAGAAAGTGGCCGTGGTTTCCAGTCTTGCCCCTTTCACACATCTTGGAGCCACGTTCCTGTCGCTTTCTGTGATTTCCTTAACTTAACCAAGCAGAGGTGAAAAATCTCCAAGTTTGCTCTCTTTCTTACCTGAAATTTTAAATCTTGAGTAAAGATTTGTTCAACTTGTTTCCATCCACAGTATACACGGGCGTAGGATATGGCTTGTCCTTCTCTTCCACTGTTCCTTTCTCACAGGATAGTTATTACAGGCTTTCAGAAAAGGTGAAAAAATGAAAACAAGTCTCCTTCAATTTCACTTGACTGTTGGATCCTTTAGCTCCTGGCCTTTCCCAGTATTGTGCGATGCAAACACTACCCTGATACAAGGATTATAAAGGAATGCAAGATTTGGAAGAGTCGTAAACAATAATCGCAAAAATCCAGCAGCACGTGCCTTAGAGTTAGCTGCTGGGACTTTGTTTACTCTTAGTTTGCTGGCATAAAAGAGCAGGGCTGTTTCTCATTGCTCAGGTGCTGGGAAGCTAAGAGATTGAGGCAGCCAGCAGCCCGGCTCTTGCGTTGTCATCATAAGACTGACCCTGCATAGGCAGAACTTGAACAGCACTAAATGCAATGGGGATCGAAGTAAAATGCTTATCAAGTGATGGTTCTTAGCTAGCAAATGAGTAGTTGGGGAAATTGAGAATGAAGCGTGAAGTTTTTCAGTGGTTTAAGTCTATGTAAATGAGTGTTAACACTGGAGATTTCCAAAGACTGCCATCAGGGCTTTGGGGCAGCGTTTGATGGTTGCTGCTGTGGAGTCAGATCCTGGCACCCCCGTGTCCCGGGAGAACTTGGGTGACTGTGTGAAGACCCTGCTAGTGTATGAGCTGATCCTACCTCCCCACCATTGTCTCCAGGTACTCTGTGGATATCCCCCTGGACAAAACTGTCGTCAACAAGGACATCTTCAGAGACCCTGCTCTGAAACGCAAGGCCCGACGGGAGGCCAAGGTCAAGTTCGAAGAGAGGTAAGTTAGGCTTGGTGGTGGGTGTTGGGGTATGGTGTTACTGACTCCCGTGAAGGGAATTTTGTCTCTCTTTAGTCCTCTACTCATTGGTGTCCTTTTTTCCCCTCTAGGTACAAGACCGGCAAGAACAAATGGTTCTTCCAGAAGCTGCGGTTTTAGATCTTTTTGTTTGTTTGTTTCAGTCATTAAAAGTTAAAAAAAAAAATCCATCTCTCTGCCTGTTACATGTATTATTAAATCTGGGAAAGGAGAACAGTCATAAGATGAAAAAGTAGTAGATGAGGAACTGTGGGAGAATTCGAAAATATAAAACCTAAATCTGCCTTTGTGATTATCAACCCGAGCACTAGCCAAAGTCTCACAAAGGATAGTGTGATCTACTAAACTGCTTCCCAAAATGGCTACTGCTGACATTTTTAGGTGCAGGTTTTCGACATCCCTGGCTTCGCTCATACCTAGAGAGCCTGAGCTACCCACCACCACAACCAGTTGTGACAACCAAAGGCCCCTCTGAGTGGGTGAGCACTGGCTACTTTGGATTGAGAACTAACCGAGGTTCTCGAACCTTAACACTGGTGGTTTTACACACCAGAGACCCACCCTATGATTTAGATTTAGTTGGTGAGGATTTCTAGCTAGCCCTTGCTGGTGTGTCTCAGTGGATTGAGTGCCGGCCTGTGAACCAAAAGGTCGCTGGTTCAAATCCCAGTCAGGGTACACACCTGGATTGCAGGCCAGGTCCCTAGTAGGGGGGCTGTGAGTGGCAACCACACATTGATGTTTCTCTTCCCCACTTCCCCTCTAAATCTTTTTTAAAAAATTTAAAGCTAGTTCTCTAGTAATGCTGGTACCTGATGAGGCCCACACTGGATAGGTATGAAGGCCCAGAGCAGCCATTCCTAGCAGGACCAGGGGGAGGTACCCTAACAGCCTGACTAGCAGAGACAAAATGCTAGGAATGTATGATTCAAGGGGCTTGGGATACTTTGGACCATGTTTTACAGACAAATAGGCTTTCTAGCTGGGCTCGTTCTAAGTTATTAGATGAAACTAGAATCCAGGGGCCTATTTACCTGAGGCACTTGGCACACTTCTACCTGGGTTGGGGGCCTGTGAGAAAGGGGCTCAATAAGTTACTCTTGGTGTAAAAACCCTGGACTAGGTGAAAATACTAGGGAACCTTACACTGTTACGTACTTTGATTTTGGTTCCTCACCTGTAAGTATTGGGCATCTCTTAATCGAGACACTTCTGTTACGTTGTCTACTCAATCACAAATGGAAATGAATTTAAAGTCTTCCTTTAACTAAAAATTCAAGTTCTCGCCCTGGCTGGTGTGGCTCTGTGGGGTGAGTACAGGCCTGTGAACCAAAAGGTTGATGCCTGGCATGGGTTGTGAGCCAGGTCCCAGGTTGGGGGCAGGTAATGTGTACCTCAGACATCAGTGTTTCTCCCTCTTCCATTTTGCAAAAAAATAAAAGTTTCTTGCTCTGTCTCAAACCCCAGGTTCAAAAAATGTTCAACCAGGTTTGGATACATGCTTCACTTACATAATGTGACATTGGGCAAGTTTATATACTAATGTGCTTCAGGAGTTTAGAATCTCGTATGTAAAATCAGGAAAAGTAAAACTAAGAAGGATTGTTTTAAAGACTTGAGTTTAATTCATGCAAAGCAGAACCAATACTGGGCACAAAACAGCTCTCAACAGATTAGGTATTGTGACAGCTTTGTGAACTTGATGGAGATTTGTTCTGGTTGCATTTGTCATTCAATAGGTTTATCAATGTCTGCATGTGCCTGGCATGATTCTGGGCTCTAGGGAAATATACATTAACAAAGCAGACAAAATTCTACCAATGGGCTTCTGCTGGGATTGACAGGAAATGAATGGTTGGTTGGGGGCCAGAATTCAGTTTGCACTTCAGAAGGTAACTTCCCCTGAGGCTTCCTAGCTGAGTGAAGTCGCCCTAGAGCCCAGGAAGGCTCCTCCTAGGGGGTGGGGAAAAACCAGAGGAGGGCGTGTGAACAACGAAGGGCAGGGACTTATCTGAAATGAAAGTGGAAGCAACGGCCTGCAGGCAGAACCATTCAAAGTGCACCTCAGACGGTAGACGCCAGAGTTGAGTCCGGTGGATTCTGCCACTTCTTTCCAGCTCTGAAGACGCGGCTCCTGCCAGCCAGATCCCAGACCCATGTCAGTGACTGAAGATGATGTAAGTGAGGAGGACAATGTTGGGGACCGGGAGAAGCAGAGGAGCACTCCTGGCAGGGCTGGGTGGCCAGGCCTTCCCCTGTCCATCCCCTAGAGCTGCTAGAACTCTGGGGAGAAGCCTGGCTGGGTTTTCTGTCCTCTGTGGAGTTAAGTCCCTAACCCATCGCCTCAAAGACAATTCTGTAACCTGCACTTCAGGAGCTGATGAATTCCTTGTGCGAATGCATCTTTCTGGAGAGAGGATTCATAGTTTTCATTAGATACTCAAAGAGTTCTGTGACCTATAATTTTAAGAATTGGAGGGCCTGGTTGGGTGGTTGGTTAGGTCGTTGATCCAATACACGATGGTTTCCGTTCAGTCCTCAGTTTGGGCACATATAAGAGGCAGCCAATGAACGCATAGGTGGGTGGAGCAATAAATGGATGTTTCCCTCTCCGTCTGGGATCAATAAATTTTTTAAAAGATGTACTTATTTATGTATTTTTAGAGAAGGGAAGGGAGGGAGGAAGGGAAAGATTCATCTTTTGGTTTCATCTTGTGGGTCCCCTAATGGGGACCTGTCCTGCAACCTAGGCATGTGCCCTACACTAGCAACCCAAGGGTCATTGAACCAGCGACCCTTTGGTTAGCAGGCCAGCACTCAATCCACTGAGCCACACCAGCTAGGGCTGAATCAATACATTTTTTAAAAATCTTTTTTAGAAAAGACTTAATCAACCACTGAATGCATAAATGAGTGGAACAATAAAATAAGTGGAACAACAAATTCATATTTCATTCTCTCTAAAAATCAATAAAAAATTTTCTTAAATGCTCTAGTTACAATTCTAAACATTTAAGAAATTCTCACATTCTTATTTCCTCAGATCTTCCCCAACAAATTCTCCCTCCTCATATTTACCTCTCAACCTTGGGCCCTCTTCCAGGTCAGAGGAAGAAGTGTACCTCCTCTGAGAGCTAACCTCCCCACTGCCTGCTATGCCACGATTTCCTGGCCTGTGAACGCCCCTACGCATGCCAGACTAAGTTCGGTGAGGACTGGTCCCCAGTCTAGCCTAATTCACTCGATCCCCAGTGCCGAGCCCTGTTCCTGGCATGCAGTAGACACTCACTAAACAGCTGTTGAATGAATGAACCTCATCTCCTTTCCAGTTTCTTCCCTTCCCTGAGAGTACCCTGTTACAAATACGCTGATCTCTCACCTAGATATTTTTCATTTGCCCTTTAAATGTAATATGAAAGACCATGGGCTCTAGAGGAAACCTGCCTGATTCCAAACACTGGTTCATGCAATTGTATGGCCCTAGACAAATTATTGTTCACTCTAAAGTTGTTGTCTATGCCCCATTTCCTTGTCTAAAGGATGAGAATTAGCCCTGGCCAGGTGGCTCAGTTGATGGGAGCATCATCCCATACACCAAAAAAAAGGTTGGTGGTTCAATCCCCAGTCAGGGCATGTACACAGGTCGTGGATTCAATCCGTGGCCAGGGTGCAAATGGGAGACAACTGATCAATGTTTCTCTCTCTCAAATCAATAAACATACCCCCAGTTGAGGATTTAAAAAATGTTTAAAAAATGAGGGATATAACAAAGATTCCTCATAAGAATACTTAACTGCAAGAATTAAACTAGATAATCCATAAATTAATATAGTGAAAACACCAAGCACTAAATATATGTTCATTATTGTTACTATTATCACCACTCTTTTCATAACCCAGTTCCCCAGGACAATATTTTTTTTTTTTTAAAGATTTCTATTTATTTCTTTTTCAAGAGAGGGGAAGGGAGGGAGAAGGAGAGGGAAAGAAACATCCATCAGTTGCCTCACACCCCCCGCTGGGGGCCTGGCAATCCAGGCATGTGCCCTGACTGGGAATCAAACCGGTGAGCTTTTGGTTCACAGGCCCGCACTCAATCCACTGAGTCACACCAGCCAGGGCTGAATTAAAACTTTTTAAATCAACAGACTGGACATCCTACCTTATATACAGCTTTATCTTTTGCTCTTTTGTCTTATTGTGAGCATTTTTCCATGTTGTTAAATGTTCTTTATTAATGTCTTTTAATTGCTACATATTTTATATTTATTTGGCTATTGTTCTGTGGTTGGACATTTTCTTTTTGTTGTTGTAAACAAGGCTACAATAGTAAGAAATCTTGTACATGAACTTTTGACCATTTCCTTGTGATAAACAGGACTTTTTTTTTCCCCCTCAATCTTGACGGTCTTTTTTTCATTTTTCATCTTTGTTAATCTGTTAGCAGCATTTGGCACAGCTGCTGGCTCCTCCTCCTCCTTGAAATCTTTCTTCATTTCTTCACACCTCTCCGCTCCCTTGGGTTTCGCCAGCAACTCCTCTGTGTTCTTCTTGGCTGCTTCTTCCTTTTTCCCCTGACCCCTTAGTGCTGGGTGCCCCAGAAATCAGTCCTTGGACCTCTTCTCTGCCTACACCGCCCCCTCCCCGTCACTCTCATTTAGTTTTATGACTTTAAATCTCTCTGCGTAAATAATTCCCAAATGTATACTCCTAGCCTAAACTTCTTCCCTCAATGCTAGATTGGTAGACGCAACTGCCACTATATGTCTCGACTGAGATGTTGAATAAGCACTTCATACATAACACGTGCAAAATAACCCCCTAACTTTCTATCCCAAGTCTCTTCGACCCACAATGTTTCCCATCTCAGCAAATGGCTTTTCCCCCCTCCAGCTGCTCAGATCAAAAAGCTTAGAGTCATCCCAGACTCCTCTCTCTCTTCCACATCCTATTTCCCATCCATCAGCAATTAGTCTATCTTGATTTTTTTTTCTTTCATTTTTATGGAGTCTTGAGTACTCCTCACCACCTCCACTGCTACCACCTGGTCCAAGTCACTAACACCGCTCACCTGGACACTGTAATGGCTTCCTGGGTGATCTCCCTGCTTGTGCCAGTTCCCCACATCAGTCTATTCCCATGGCAGCCAAGGAATCCTGTTAACATTTAAGCCTGCCTGTGGCTTCCCACCTCACATCTAGTGAAAGGCTCTGCATGATCCCACCCCGTTTCCTCTGGGACGTCATTTCCAGTCACTCTCCCTCACTCCCCTTCTTCCAGCCACATTGCCCTCCTTGCACTGTCCTCTCAGATACACCTGGCAAACTCCCACCGCAGGGCCTTTGCTCTTGCTGTTCCTCTGCATAGAACTTTCCCCCACATTTACACGTGGCTTGCTCCTTCTTCTCCTTCAAGTGTATGACCGAGCTATGTCATTGAGGCCTATTCTTATCACCCCTTTTAAAACTGTCCTCCAGCATTCTCTGTCCTCCCTTCTCTGCTTTGTTTTTACCCATAACACTTAGCACTGACATAATACACATTTTACTTACTGATTCTGCTTGTTGTCTGGCTCATCCCCTAGAATGTAAACTCCGCAAGGAAGTGTCATCTGTTTTGTTCACTTCTGTGTCCCCAGAGCCGAGGACAGAGCCTGGCAAATGGTAGATGTTAACTGTTCAGTGAGTGAATGAGTGAGGAAGTGAGCAGTGAGCACACGGCCTCCTGGTAGCCCCTTTTCCTCAGCTCAGTTTCGTCCCTCTTCCTCCTTTGTGTGTGACACTTCCCATTCCTGGCCCTGGCTCTGTTCATCTCTGACCACGTCTTCTGTTTCCCCCTCTGCATTCTCTCCTGACCCGTGCCCTGGTCACCTCGAAGAGTACATTTTTAAGGCTCTTTTCCTCAGAGAGCTCTCCCATCCTCTTGGCTTCGACCTTTACCACATGATGTTCTGACCGGAGTCCTGGCCACCACGTCCTGTCCCTGACCTTACGCGTCTTCAGTAGCCTTGGGTTTGATTGACTTTGTTCCGTTAGTTAAACTTGATGAATCTCAGGTCCCTCATCTATAAAATGGAGTTTATTAAAATAGAAAACACATGACATAGCACTTATGTGCCAGGCACTACTTCCAAACAAAATTAAATACAGGTGGAAACTGCTATTCTGCCCATTTTACAGGTGAGGAAGCCAAGACACAGAGAGTTTTAAAAAACTTGCAGTAGTTAGCAGGAGCTGAGGCAAACCCCAGCGATTTGGCCCCAGTTGGTGCTCTTAACCGTTATGCTGAACTGCTCCTGATCGTCCCATGATGCGCACAGACAGCAGGAGATTTTATCTTATGTGCCGGTGAGGGTCTAAACTCAGCAAGTGAGGCAGAAGAATGTATGCAGTCAAAATTAACCCTACATCACAGGCTTAACCCTAAAGTATCCAGAATGTACAGTCCCTCAATGAGCTCAATGTAGGGCGGACTGCAATCCATTTCAGCTGCGCATCACATGGGCCGGGGCTCGCATTTGGGGGCCATGTTCTCCTGTTGTGTAAATAAATAGCCTGTATCGTTGAATTCAAGTGACTACAATTGGCCTGTGTCATCCTTAAGAGGGCCCTGGAAGAGACAATTTCAACTAGGAGTTGGAGACAGGAGGCATTTCGTGATATTTAAATGAGATGTCCAACTGTGCCCGGCACTTAGCAGGCCTGGCTCTCTTGCTTTGCCCGCTGGGACAATGGCATGACACCAAACTCTGGGGCACCCAGGTCTGCCACCTGGCATCGTCTCTCCGGGTCATTCTCCTCTGTCTCCTTTATGCAGACACCCACAGAGGCTGGAGCTTTTCCTCCTGAAATGTCCTCACCCCCACGTGCCCCTTCGTGCCTCCTGTGGGAGGCCCCAGTCAGCTCCTATCAGGTCAGTGGAAACCAGAGATGCGGAGCCGGCATTTGTTTCCCTCGCTCCACAGCTCCTGCCCCAGTTCATCCTGCCATCGCTGCCAGGATCTCCTTTAAACGCCACACCCGTCACCTCGCTCCCCCTTTCAGAAATCTTCACTATTCCCCATTTCCTGCTGATATCACATCTAAACTCTCCTGGTTGAATTTTCCTGTAAAATACTCTATTTATGAAGCAACTAGTTCTTTTTCTTAAGCTATTTATTAAGTAGCATTGCCAACTACTGGATTTCTGATTATATATCATTAGATCAAGATTTAAATCAGGCCCTTGCTGGTGTGACTCAGTGGATTGGGCGTCATCCTGCAAACCAAAAGGTTGCCAGTTTGATTCCCAGTCAGGGCACCTGCTGGGGTTGCGGGCCAGGCCCCCAACTAGGGCAACTAATTGATGCTTCTTTTGCACATCAATGTTTCCCTCCCTCTCTTTCTCCCTCTCTTCCTCTCTCTCTGAAAATAAATAAATAAAATCTTTTAATTAAAAAAATATTTAAAGCAGAAGTAAAAAGAGGTTGGACTGAGGACTGAATCCAGCCTATTTTTTTCATGTATTTTTTAAAAATTGAGCCATCTTTTTCCAATGAAAATACCAATTTCTGACTTTCCTTAAAAATTAGAAGGTATGGGCTACTGGAACCACATTCCCATGTGGAAAAACTCGGTTACAGCTGCCCGAGGTTGCCACTCCAGCAGGGACAGGCTCTTCCAGTCTGGCAGTGTCCTCACCACTCCCTATCAGGCTATCCTGGCTCCCTCAGCTCCCTGACATCATCTCACTGGCCCTTATAGGTATTGCGCTTACAACCCCTTGTTTACAGAAATGTAAAGAATGAGGTACATTTCTCACTATTCATAAACCAGCATTACTCAAGCCCTAATTTTCCTCTATGGAAAATTTGGTGAACTCACTGAATGTCTTCAATGCTCTCTGTAACACGCTTCCATCCTACTCTTTATTCACTTCATTCATTCAACACACACTTGCTGAATTCTTGTTTTGTGCCAGGGACTCTGCTGAGCACTGGTGATACGGAGAAGCCCAGGACAGAGTCTCGTCACCCTCAGAGAGTTCACTCTTAGACTCTGGGCTGACCTTATATATCAGGCTTCCCAACCACAGGGCAAACTCTGCCAGCTAACGTCTGCTCCAATCCGCAAACAAAGGTGCATTTATTCCTATCCTTGGTGTCATTCCCCTGCCCATGTCCTCGGCGCGCTCTCTCTCTCTCTCTCCTTGGACCTGCTCCAAATCACAACCATCCCGAAAGGCTGCTTGGAACAGTGGAAAGGGTGGCAGTCAAGGGACAAGATGGGAGATGTGGAGTAAATTATTCCCCAATTCTGGGTTTAATTCCTTCATTGTGGAGAGCAAATTAGCAGCGTGGAGTCAGACTGCCTAGGACGAATTCCTTCCAGAAAGTCACTTAACCTCTCTGAGCTTCAGTTTCCTCATCTGTAAAATAAGGATAAGAGGGCATTTGTCTTGTAGGGCTGTTGGAAGAACTGAGTGATAAGGTCCATATAAATGGCTGAGCACAGGCACGCTCCCCTCAGGAGCACACGTGCACCTTTCAGTCCCTCGGTTCTTCCCCTCAGGCCCGTTACCTTTGCCTCTCCCTCTCCTAAGCTCAAACGGCCATTCTTCTGCCTCTGTAACGTGTTCCCTGTCTATGCAGCCCAGCTGGCTCACTTTTACTACCTCTAACTTTCTAAATAAACTTCCTCTTATAATTTGAAAAAAAAATTGTTTTTATTTATTTTTAGCGAGGGGGAAGGGAGAAAGAAAGGAAGAGAAACATGGATGTGCGATCAACTGGTTGCCTCTCGCACGCCCCCAAATCAGGGACCTGGCCCGCAACCCAGGCATGTGCCCTCATCAGGAATTGAACCAGCAACCTTTTGGTTCACAGGTTGGCACTCAATCCACTATCCACACCAGCCAGGTCTGAAAAAAAGTTTTTTTTTTAATTAAAAAACAAAATGGCTTAGCACAATGTCTCACAGGTTAGTGCTTAATACATGTTAGTCAATAGCATTATGACATTTTGCAATTTTAAGCACCTGCTCCTCCTGGAGGCCTCCTTAGCCATGTTAACCCCATTGTGACTGTCCCTCCTCCACACTCCTGCTGTCCCCCATGATCGGTTGTGTGATTGTGCACAGTCTTGGGCACTGTTTCGTACAGGCCTGAGGGCTAGACCCTTATCTTCCACTGCCCTGTGTCAGTACCCGGCACCTCACAGCAGCAGCTCAATCCGTGTTTGTTAAACTCTAGGTCTCAATAATAAACCAGCATGGCTGCTACAAAAGCTCTTGGCCTTCAGAGAGTAGCTGAGGCCACCAAGTTCTGAGTAGAGGGGGTTGGGACCAGCTTAGCATCAGGTAAAGGGGTTGGGTTGTTCTTGGGCTGAGCATCAACTCTGTTCCTGGAGAGTCCACAATAGGAACCTCCGTCCCCTGGTCTCATTCATTGTCTGGGAAGGACAGTGGATATTTGGTCATTCGCCTCTGCTCTAACAGGCAACCTACACAAGGAGTCTATTCCAGACCATTCAGAAGGAGCAGGCCATACTAAAGATGAAGCTGCAGAAGTTGCAGCAGATGAAAGAGCAACTCAGGAACTCCACCCAAGACAAGGTAAGCTGGGAGAAGGGGCCTGGTAGAAAAAGCAGAAGCGTTCTTAGTTTCACCCGCAGCTCTGCCACGTCTTGCTGTGTGACCTCGAGTATGTTGCTCGAACTCTCTGAATCTGTCTTTTCACCTGTAAAGTGGAGCTACCTCCCTCACAGCCTTGTGCGAGGACAAACCGAGACCTTGTATGTAAAGTGCCAGAACAGGCTTGACCTGTTTTCATCCACTCACTTTTCCAGCTCTTCTCCCAATAAATGTATTCATCCCTCTACCCAGTGTCAGTCACATGGAACTGGGAACACTTCCTTCCTGGGAGGGAGTGGGGAACTCTCCCAGCCTCGAAGGCTGCATGAGCCTCCCCTCCCCCATCTCCAGGACCCCTTCCCAATGCCTGAAGTCCCGGTGGTGTTCCGAGGACACACTCAGGAGGGCAGGGAAGTGCCCAAGTCTTTGATTTCCAACCTGAAGATCTGCTACCCTCTGCCTGGAGGCTCTGCTCTAGTCACCTTCGATGACCCCAAGGGTGAGCTCCTGGGGAAGCCTTGGGAGGGAGGCTGGGAGGCTTCTGGGTACTGACCCTGCTCTTCCCACCCAGTGGCCAAGCAGGTGCTGCAACTAAAGGAACATGAGATCAAGCTGGAGGAGTGCCGGCTGCGTGTGCAGGTCCAGCCCTTGGAGCTGCCCATGGTGACAACCATCCAGGTGATAGAACAGCCAAGTCCTGGGACATGCAGGGGGTGCCATGCCCCTGGGCACTGAGGAGTAGAGGCGTGCCTGGGACCATTCCTTCTTGTCTGCCCCTAGGTGTCCAGCCAGGTGAGTAGCCAGAGAGTGCTGATCAGAGGGTTTCCTGCTGGGCTCAAGCTGAGTGAGGAGGAACTGCTGGACAAGCTGGAAATCTTCTTTGGCAAGACCAAGAATGGGGGTGGTGACGTGGAAACTCGGGAACTGCTGCATGGGGGCGTCGTGCTGGGCTTTGCTAATGACGAAGGTAAGCAAGGGCCCTACCGAGATTACAGCAAATGCATAAGGCCCCCGAGGAAGAACCCCCTCGATGCTAAAGGTCTACCCCTTTCTGTCCCTGCAGTGGCCCAGAACCTGTGCCGGATTGGCGAGTTCACAGTGCCGTTGGGTAGGCAGCAGTTCCGTCTGAAAGTCTCTCCCTACGTGACTGGAGAGATTCAGAAAGCAGAGGTAAGTAGGAAGGCGGAGAATGGGGGCCGGTCCACGTAACCTGCCTGCCTGCCAGAGGCTGGCCCGAGGAAGAATATGAGTCCCCACAGCCCGCCAACCTGCCCGTTGCCAGCCTCTCCAGGCCTCCCCCTCACCGTCCCCGCCGCCGCCCCCGCCGCCGCCCCAGCTCCCGCGCTCCCACCGGCACTGCCTGCTCCAATATCAGTCCGCAGCCCCCTGATTCTCACGAGCCTTTGCTCATCTCCCGATTCCCTTTCCAGGTCAGGTCCCAGCCAGTGCCCCAGTCCGTGCTGGTATTCAACATTCCCGACGTCTTGGAAGGCCCGGAGCTGCACGACATCCTGCAGATCCACTTCCAGAAGCCCACCCGTGGGGGAGGAGAGGTGGAGGCCCTGACGGTCGTGCCTCCCGGAGAGCGAGGCCTGGCGGTCTTCAGCGCAGTGGAGTCCCGCTAGGAGCCTGCCCGTCTCAAACTGGGCTGGGGCCCGGCGCGCGCGCAGGTGCGAGGGATCGTGCCAATCATCCTGGGCAGGGACTCCGGGCTGTGAAACGCCGCCCCACAATAGTAAAAGTGTCTGCATGGCATGATCTTCTTCCCCATTTTATTTCATGAAAGGAAACTTGACTTGGGCAGGGAAGGGGAGGCTGGATGGAGGCAGAACCCTCTTTCCACCGTGAGTGCTGGTCTTTCACCAGCTCACCTTCCCCTCTACTCTCAGAAGCAACATCCAGGAACCAGGGTTTGGCTTTTTATTGACACACAAACACAAAGGCAGCTTCGGTAACGGGGTGGGGTACACAAAAGCAGAAGTCGCACTTCACACCATGAAGGCCTCATTGAGACAATGAACAGGCTGAGCCCTCCCCACCACCTCCCATTGGCAATGGCTGGGGCACTAACCCTTCTTAAATTCCAGCTTAGAGAGCAGAGGGAGTGACACCCCTACCCCAGGAAGTCCCCACTTTGGTTCCAGCGGCCCAGGTCCTAACCCCTCCCCCTCCTTTTTCTCCCCTGCTCCATCTCCCCACCCATGTAAACAAAGTTTGGGGCTGAGTGTGACAAGGTGTCTCCCTGCTCTGAGAAGGCAGGGGGCAGGGAGCCTCCCACGACTGCATGGGCATGTGCTTTAATTTTTACTTTGGTCCCAGAACAAGAAATAGCATTGCCTTCCAGAGCTCCGGCTGGTAAATGCCACACTTATCTGCAAGGCTGAGAAAACTTCCCCACCTCCTCCTCAACTACTGACAGAGAAATGGCAGCCTCAGAGAGAGACAGGACTTGGCACAGAACCCAGAAGGCTAGGGGCGGCCCCGCTCCCCGTTCCCACCCCCGACCCTGGCACACACACAGATTTTTGGCAGTGTTGTGGGGCTGGGGAGCAGCAAAGCCCCAGCTCCACCAGAACAAGGAAGGCACTGGGGAGTGCAGGGGTGGAGAGGGAGGTGCGAGACAGGGACCCCCCACACATACACAAGCACAGGTTTTCCATTGCTAAGGCACTGAGAACAAATCCAGAGAACTCAGTGAAGGCAGGGGGCTCTGCGTCCCTCCCACAAAGTCTTGACCTGGGGGAGCAGGTAAGGTTCCTGCCCTTGTTGTAAGAGGCAACCTTGGTTAAGAGTGGCAGAAAACCAGGAGATGGAAGAAGCCCAATTGTGCTTAAGAAGTTGGGGACAAGAGGACGAGGCCACGCAATGAGGCAAGGGGGTTCACAGATGGGTGCTAGTCGGCCTGGGATTCAAGGGGCACTAGGGCAAAACAGGGACATGCTGGACTCACAGAGATTGGCCCCATATCCTGAGCTGACATTTCAATTCTTTGGGGAGGCAGTGGGGCAGGGGCAGGAGGGGAGATGAGGCAGAGGCGGAAGCACGCAGAACAGAACGGGGAGGGACTGGCTAGCCTTGGCACAAAAGCAGCGCAGCAGGCCCAGGGAAAGGGTGGGGGCAGGAAGCAGCCGGTCTCCCTCTGACCCTCCCTGTCCCCTTGGCAGGGCCCAGACATCCAAGTGGTCACTTCCCACCCTCTTCAGAGGGCAGGAAGGAGGGAGGGGGCAGCCCTGGCTACAGGGAAAGAATGGGGCAGGGGGAGGAGGTCATCACCATGGAGACCTTGGGGGGAGAGAGAGCAGAGCATTATGACAGAGGACGAAATTTGGAGGGTCTGGCAGTCCACATAAATGGCTTCCCAGCTTCTCTCTTCCCGGGTCCCAGGGGTCTCCCAGCCCCGCCCTAGTTCTCCTCCTCTGACTTAGGTACCAGGACAATTTTGCCCACATTCTTCTTCTCCTGCATCTGCCTCATGGCATCCGCCACCTGAAGAAGAAGACAAGACTCTGCTCCCATTGCTACCCAGCCCCTCCAGGCAGGCAGCCTAAAGGAGGAGGCTCTCCTCCTCCCAGGAGCCCTGCCACCGCGACCCCAGCCTTCCGGAGCCCCGCCCAGGCCCTCTCAGCACGGCCAGCGCACTCACCTTTTCGAAGGGCCACACGGAGTCAATGTGGGGTTTGATGTGGCCCTGCTTGTACAGAGCCAGGAGGCGGGCCACCACAGGGCTGACCAGCTCCACCTCGTTGTCCAGGTAGCCCAGGTGGAAGCCACACACAGCCCGGTTGGCCGGCAGCAGCTGCAGAGCTGTCACACTGAACTGGTTCCACCACGTGCGTGCCAGGGCCATCAGGTTCCGCTTGGGGCCTGTCAGCAGGCTGGCCATGCCTGAGAAACAAGGAGACACAGCCTGTGAATCCAGGTGCCAGGCACATCCCTGCGTGTCTGGATCCACGTTCATCTGCCCCCGAGGGGCCCCTTACAACGATCCACACCAGTACCAGGGAATGACTGGATAATCCCTCACCTGCAGGCTCCCAGGTCCAAAAAGATGCCAGCTAACTCAAAAACGGCTCAGATCTTTATTTCTTTACTTTCATGTACGTGAAGTAGTTATTTTAAATTTTACTTTTCAATTACAGTGTACATTCAATATTGTTTTGTATTCGTTTCGGATGTATGAAACTAATTTTTTACCTGGAAATGCAGTTTGCCCAAGAAGCTCAGGAGGGTAGGACAGAGAAAGGCAGACTGGTTGATTTCACATCAAGAATAATCTCCAAACCGGAGCCCAGAAACAACACAGAATTGACTGACTTGCAGGAAAGGTTGTGAAAGAAAATGACCGCAGCCATGCCCAGGAGGCAGCAGTCTGAATGCGACAGCCAGGCCGCCCCCTTTCATTCGAAAGCCCTGTGCCCCTGCATCCCGCCCTGCCTCCCCTAACTCTCCCCTCCATCCCTGCGCACTGACTCACCATAGGTGATCAGTTTGCCCATGGGTTTGAGGAGGTTGTAGCCCTTGGCCGTATCTGACCCACCCAGAGGGTCCATGACGATGTCCACACCTGCCACAGAATAAGGGGGCCCAGGAATAGCATTAGAATCCATCAATCCGGAAGCCCCCTTTCTGTCCCACGCCATCCCTGCCCTGACCCCACCTTTGGGGGAGACCTTCTTGATCTCATCCACGTAGTTGGTTGTGTGGTAGTCAATGGGGTATGTGACCCCATTCTCCTTCAGCACTTCGTGCTTGCTGGCAGAGGCTGTTCCAAACACTGTCACATTCTCCACCGTCCGGCACAGCTGCAAGGCAGCTATACCCACACCCCCTGCAACAAGACACTTTCATAAGGAGGGGATATAGAGTCACCCAGCCACCACTCTCCATTCTTGCCTCTCAAGAACCGAGCCCGTCACCCTCATTTTGCCTGGGTTCCTTTGGAGACCTTCTGCCCTCATCTTACATCAAATTTCTATGACTGAGAACTGGGGGAAGGGTGGCTGACTAGGAAGGGGTGCTGGAGCAAGGGCATGTTGCTATGGATAGCACACCAGGCTGGACCTGATGCCTGAATGTTGCCATGGCAACAATACTGCAGAGGCCTTGGCGCCATAGGCCAAGGCAGCCAGTGTTACCATGACAACAGTCCAGCCGTGCTGCAGAGAAGGGGCCTCGAAGGAAATCTGGGTGGGGTAAGGAGCAGGGATAAAGGGAAGGGCCTCTTACCTGCAGCCATGTGTACCAAGACACTGTGGCCAGGCTGCAGATTGCCAAAATCAAAGAGGATCATGTATGCTGTGATGTAATTGACCAGCAAGGCAGCAGCTTCCTCAAAGGTCATGGCCTCAGGCATCAGGAAGGTTTGGACCGAGGGAACAGTCACCTCCTCCTGCCACATGCCCGACCGGATCAACACCATCACCCGGTCCCCTACCTTGAAGAACGGAAGAAGAGCATGATTCAGTCACTCATTCATTCACCCATTGGCAGTCTATGACTTTCTGTTATGTACAAGGCCCTCTTCCGGGGAACGAAGTAGCAGCAGAAGCAGCAGCACTAGTTACACTAATAGTAGTAGTAATAATAATAATAATAATGTCATCAAAAACAATAACAATTTACCTTTATGAATGCTTACCAAGGTCCAGGCTCTACTGTAAGAGCTTCATATATAAACATTTAACTAATCCTTATACCAGCTCTTTCAGGTAGATACTATCCTTATCTCCATTTTATACATCTTAAGACTTCACTATTGTGTAAGGTCCCTGAGGTGAGAAGCATGAAGTACTGTTAAAGAGATCAAACTGTTTCTGTTAAAAAATAAAATAAAATAAAAAGGCTCCACTGTTTATTGATGATGTGACTTTGGGCAAATAAAAAATTACTTAACCTTTTGAACCCTGGTTTTCCTATCTGTAAAACAGGGCAGATATGAAGATTAAATGACAAAAAATCATTTAGTGATTTTTTTTTTTTTACCAAATGTGCGCCACATAGTAAGACACTTGGTAGTGTTAGCCAACAATAATGATAACAATAATGACAGGAACAGTAGCTAGGAGGGAGGCCACCAACCCAGTAACTGAAGGACGAGGGAGAATGTGGTCAGGGCCGTATCACAGCACAGGCAAAGGTCTCTGAGGAGTTAGGGTTGGGTGTGGTCACCTCAGGAGAAGTACTGGGGGCCCAAAGATACCTTCACTCAGAGGTGGGGACAGGGGTGATGGACAAGGAGAGCCACATAATCCCTCCCACCAGGGAAAGGTATTTTTCTCACTCTTGGCCACCCGCAGGAGAGCCTCCTTTCAGGAAGGAAAGGGAGCAAAGGAAACAGAAGCCTTGTCTGGGCATTCTCAGGGGAAAGGAAGGCGTCTTTTCACTCTCTGAAGAGCGTGGAGAGGGAGGTGTGGGTGCATTTCTGGGACAACCAGGTCTGTCTCAGGCCCTGCCAAGAATGATGGGAATTCTGTATACTAATGAGACTTGGGATCCACAGGGAAGGAGGATGGGACTCCCACACACCCTTTTTCATGTCCTCAGGGCCCCACATTCCATTAATGAGGAGGACTGAGGGCCAGCTGGGATCTTTCCCTGTAAGCACTGATTTGAGGTGAAGTCTGGGGAATGGAAGCTTATTCCACCCCAGGACTCCAGACAAACTGATCCTGCGATCACTCTGGAGGACTGCGAAGAGCCCAGCGGTCAGTCTGGGTGGTAGCCAGTCTCAGATCTGGCCCAGAACTAGGCTCCCCACTTACCCAAACTAAATGCCCACCCTTCAGCCCATCACGGTGCAGGGTCAGCCCTGATATCAGGAGGCAGGGAGGGCTCTCCCCACAGAATTCAGCCTCTTACAATCAGATTCTTGCCCTGGACAGGATATCCTGTATTTACCAAGTGGAAAGTGTGGGGAGGGGAGATTAGGTGGGTGGCCTTCAGCGGTAGCACGAACTATGACTCCCCCCACTAAAAAAATAAAAAAATAAAAAATCCTCTTAGTACCTTCTCAAGAGTGGGATTATTTAGACGTCAGTGGAAAGGGTGGGGCCACAGCTGAATTCTTTAAAGAGGAGACGTCTGCTTGTACAATAAATCCTAGAATGCCAGCTCTCAGATCTAGGGCTGGCAGGTCTCGCAAGAGAAAGGTTACATCTGAGAGAAGACTCTCTTGCACGGGCCTGATTGGTAAATAAACCTCTAAACAAATGACGGGCAAAGGCTCACCCCGGGTCTCTCCAAAAGTTGGTCATTTGGAACTCCTCGGTGTCCGGGGTTGTGGCCAAGATTAATGGTAAACAAAAAGGAGAAAGAGACCGGCAGAGCTGGGCCAACCTGCTGCCGGGGCCACACCTCCCACCCCAGTCCAAATGGGCCCCGCCGGGGTTTCCGAGGGTCCTCCACAAGCGAGGCTGAGGCAGGTTCTGCCGCCAGACCGTTCCCAAGAGCAGCCATGGGGGTCATGACTTGATGGCTGAGTCACCGGAGGTGGAGAGATTGCAATCACGGGAGACAGAGTCCAAAACCAAAAACCAGAGACCCAATCTCAACTCTGTCCTTCTACGTCACCCCTGCCACCACCAAGATCAAACTGGCAGCCTAGGGCGACCGGTGGTAGCAGTCTCCCTCTCTTCCACGATGGGACTGCCTCATTCTCCTGGCCCTGTCTGGGAGGGGCCGCCTCACACACCCACAGACCACGGGGCTGCATGTGACTAGGGCTCTGGCACAGCCACGTGCCCCCGCCCAGCTCCGACTACATAGCTCCTCCAGCTCCCTTGAGGGACGAGACATCAACAGTCACTTAGAGCCATAGACCACAATTACCCGGGGAGTGTTTGGTGGGTAGGGGTACAGGTGTGGTTTTATTAGGGATTGCGTGTGTGGGGATTGGGGCGGGTGCGGGGGGGGCGTTGTGGAAGGTCATTGCGCGCATGCGCGTGGGCGCCTTATTGTTCTCCCCCCCCCGCCCCCGGCCCCACGCACCCACCACTACCAAGGCCGCTTCTGGGCGGCGGCCAAAATTAAAAATGGTTGGGAAGGGGGCGATAACTCCGTCTCCATCCCCTAGCTCCAAATACAAATCCAGTTCTCCACCAGCCTCAGAACCCAGGCTCCTTTCTTACTACGCCTTCCATGCACGTCTACCCGGGTCCGTGCCAGCTTCCCCTGTCCTGCCACACCCCCGGCGCCCGCCCCTCCTGCCGCACTACCCAGGCCGGCGCAGCCCTGCTTTGCGCTGGCCCGCTCACCTTACGGTCGTTGACTCCCTCGCCCACCGCGATTACTACTCCTGAGCCCTCCATGCCCGGGGTAAAGGGCAGCGGCGGCAGCCGGTCGTACAGCCCCTGCCGAGCCATAAGGTCTGCGAAGTTGAGCCCACAGGCCCGGACGCGCAGCGTCAGCTGGCCGGGTCCCGGGGCCGGGGGCGCGGCCGGCCGGCTTTGCAGCTTCACCTTGTCGTAGCTGCCGAAGCCCGTCAGCACCAGGTATCGCACCGGCGGCTGCGAGGGGGCGGCGGCCCCCTCGGAGGCCGTGGGTGGCTGGGCGTCGCCAGCTGCTTCGGCATTCGGGGGCTGAGAAGTGGCGTTTTCCGTGGCCCTTGCCTCGGCCGTCGCCACAACGGTGGCCACCTCGGCTACCTCTCTCTCCGCGGACATGGCTGAGTCTCCCGACGTGCGCGCACAGCTGGACGAAGGGTTCAAAACTGGGGAGGGCGGGGCGCGCGTCAGGAGGAGCCGCAGCTGCGGACCGGGAGCTGTAGGGGCGGGGTGCCGGCCCGGGGGCGGGGCCTCGCGCGCCTCCTTAAAGGGCCAGGGGCAGTGTACGGGTGCTGCGGACGCGTGAAAAGTGGAGATGAGGGTTGTCTGTGGACAGACACATGGGAGGGCATTCTTGGGTCATATAGATCACGACTTAATTCACTTACTTATTCATAATAAACCTTATGCAAGTTAAAAATATATGTTAAGGGGCAGTCTGAAAGACGACCCCAAAACCTGAGCCGACATCAGAGTTGGGGAGCCAGCTACTTGTAGACCAGAACCCAACCAAATTGTTCCCCAGGCTCTGACTGCCCATTTATGACCTATTTCGTGTGGTCTAGCACTAGCAAACTTGGAGCAGAGAGATGGAGTCATTAACACTTTCCATTTGATTTTGTTTGTTAAAGCACAGTGCCTCAATTTTCTCTTGTGTAAAATGGTGAAAATGTTGCTTGTTAAAGGGTAAAGATAAAATTAAATCGAGTACCCTCGATTAGGCTTTTAAAAGGTAAAAGATGTCATATAAAGGCAAAGAAGTGGCTCGATTATTGTTAGATTCCGGATCAAGCCTGAAATGACTTTAGAGCTTGTCTCTGGCTCCAGCGGGCTGTGACTCTGGGCAATTTGATCTGCCTCTTCCTCACTCCCCAACTCCGTCTTCCCGTAGTATCCACCAGAGGACATAGCTCCCCCAAAACTTTTCACCCTGCTTTTAGCTGGAGAAACTCATTCTTGCCTCCCCGCTAGTCCAGGCCGGTGTTATGTGGAGATAGCCCCAGACTAGGCCATCCGTTGCCATAGGGACGGAAAGCCCTGACGTCACCGCTTTCCTGGTGGGTGTGTTCGAGTCCAGACCCTCTTAACTCCAAGAATCCCTGCTAGTACATCAGCAAGGAGGATGGAGATCGAACCCGAAAAGCTACCTCCTTCTCCTACAGTCTCGCGCCCCTTCCTGCTCAGGAAGACGATGGTTGCCCCCGCGTGTGTCTGCACTAGCACACCTGAGTGCTCGCTTAAGCAAGCAAAAGGCCCGAACTGCGGGCGCCTGCTACCCCTCAGAACCCTACCCCTCAGAACTTCACCCAAGCTCCGCTCGCCCCCGCCCCTGAGGAAGTCAAATCTGACACCTGGCCCGGCTCGGCCATCTCAAACCGGCAGGGGCCCCTTGGATCTCAGCAACGCGCTGAAACCCAGCTCTCGGGCCTTGGTTTCCCCGGGTTCCCCCTCCCCCCGGCTCCCCTGAGCCCCGCCTCCCGGCTGCGCGGGCGGGAGGCGGGGCCAGGGGCGCGGCCGCGGGGCTGGGGGCGGGGCAGAAGGGGTGTCGCGGCCCCCGGTGGGGGCTCGGCGCGGGCCCGCGAGATGCCGGTGTCGGCGGCCCGAGTGGCTGCAGCTGCAGCGGCTGGGGAGGCAGCAGTGGGACCCAGGAGGGGGGCTGCGCGGCGGACCGGCGTGTAGCCGGGACCATGGAGGGCCAGAGCGGCCGCTGCAAGATCGTGGTGGTAGGGGACGCGGAGTGCGGCAAGACGGCGCTGCTGCAGGTGTTCGCCAAGGACGCCTACCCCGGGGTGAGGGACCGGCTCCTTGGGAGAGGGGAGTTGAGGCCGCGGGGTTGCCTGACTGAGGCCTGCGGGACGGACAGAAATGGGCGCTGGGGTCTGCAGGGACGAGAGACAGGCTCAGAGGACGGTGGGGTGGTGTTGGGGGCTCTGGAAGGACTGCAGAGGATTGGGGTGGGAGGAAGTCAGGATCAGGGTGAGATAAATGGGGTTTGGGGGGAAACAGAAGATCCCAGAGCGGGCGCTAGGAGGATTTCGGGGTTCCTGGGCATCGGAGAGGGGAAGAACTAGAGGCTGAAGGGGCTGGGAGGAGGTCTGGGAGCCTAACAGAGATTCCCTGAGGCAGCCGCTCCCGGGATCTCCCCTTTGCCCAACAGCAAACCAACTTGTGTCCAGGGACTGGGCTGGACGGGGTGTGGGAGTAAGGAGGGCATTGGTCTGGGGAGAGGACTGGAGGATCTCATCTTGACCCATCTGTGCCTGCAGAGTTATGTCCCCACCGTGTTTGAGAACTACACTGCGAGCTTTGAGATAGACAAGCGCCGCATTGAGCTCAACATGTGGGACACTTCAGGTAACCAACTCTCTGGGGTCACCCTGGCTTCCAAGGCCCCCACTCTGACCTCTCCTTGGGCTAGACCTTTAGGCTTAAGTCACTTTAGCCCATACATCTAATTCTAGGAGGAAGGAAAATCCACTTTCTGCTTAGAGCTAGGGAAACTGAGGCAGAGCTTGCTTACATGCATAGAGACCATGTCCTGAAGGATAAAGGCCAGTATGCAATCCCCTCTGCTGGATTCTGCCTACCTGGGAAAGTTGAAAAGGAATTTTTTTTTTAAATTTGGGTACATGTTTTTTAGGAAATTGCTGGGCTTAGGAAAGATATTTAGAATGTCTCTGGGTGTGGGAACTACTTCTCTAGACTGAACTATAGAAATTTGAGATCACATCCCAAGAGGATGGGAGGGAGAGCTCTCTCCCTTGACCGAAAAGGAGGAGGGTTTTTATTTTTACTCTAGTCCCCTGGAGGTCATTAGAAGATGTCTGTCAAAGCCCAGAAAGCACACACGAAATTTTGCGAGAATGTCGAGAGATTTCATGAGTTCCTCAGATGCAGAAAAGATTGAATGATTACTTTTAGAGAAACCCCTAGGGAAGTGGAGAGCTGTGTTCTGCCATCTAACCTCTCTTCTGCCTGCCCCTGCCTTGGAGAAATACAGACTCCTTGATGGGTATTAATAACTGCTCTTTTCCATTCTCTGCCCCTAGCATCCCTTGGCCAAGATTGCTAAGGTCTCCCATTCCCTCCCAGGCCTTCCACTCACTCAGGACCCTCATCTGCCCCCTCCCCCGTCTTCTCTCAGGTTCCTCTTACTATGATAACGTCCGGCCCCTGGCCTATCCTGATTCAGACGCTGTGCTCATCTGCTTCGACATCAGCCGGCCAGAAACACTGGACAGTGTCCTCAAGAAGGTGGGAGCCTGGGGATGCAAGGAAGCTAGGCTGAGGGGGACAAGAAAACTATGGCACAACATGAGCCATCAGCTGGGGAGTAGGTGAAGCTCTCAGACTCCTGACCGCCCTTCCCTGGAAATCAGTGCTCAGAGCTGGGTAGGGCATCTGGGGGTGCTGGGGGAGAGGAGGGAGAGGTAAGCAAGAGATTTCTTAGCCACCCTCCCCATCTTCTTGGGCATGGGAGCCCCGCATGGACAGGATGAGAATGCTGCTCCTGGAGCTCAGGAGAGCCCTGTGGTCTCCTCTCCAGGCACCTGTTTCCATGAGAAAAGCCCATGGTGAAAGGACAGAAGTCCGCTAAGGCAGCCCCAGTTCCCAGGTGGGGGCGGGGAGGGCCGACTCTGTCTGTTCCCAGAAACAAATTTGGGAAAGAGGGTGGAAATGGCAAAGCTCCAGGCTGGCAGGCACTTCATGGCCCATGAACTGGAAGCCGGGTACAGACCCTACAGCCCTACCCGGGCCCTCTTTTCCTGCTCCTTCTCTCACCGCCCCCCCCCCCCTCGCTTTCAGCCCAAGCCCACCGTTCCCACCTCTCACTCAGGACAGCCCGCAGGGGTGTTGGTGTTTGCATGCTGTGAGGAAGGGTGGCCTCCTGGTGTGGAGGATGGTTCACCCTGTGCCTCCTTCTACCCCTCCATAACTCTTACTTTCTTTCCCCAAATAGTGGCAAGGGGAGACTCAGGAGTTTTGCCCCAATGCCAAGGTTGTGCTGGTTGGCTGTAAACTGGACATGCGGACCGACCTCACCACACTGAGGGAGCTGTCCAAGCAGAGGCTTATTCCTGTTACACACGAGCAGGTGGGACCCTTGACCTTTGGCCTCATCCCAGCCTACATCTCCCACTTTGGACTCTGATTTGAAAACACCCTATTTTGTTCATCCCTTGTCTTGGCCTCTGACCTCTGACCTTACCCCTTGACAACCCCCACACACACACCTTGCTGAGCTGCAGGCTAGTCCTCATAACTTTCTTCATGCACTCCACCCTTCCAGGGCACTGTGCTGGCCAAGCAGGTGGGGGCCGTGTCCTATGTGGAGTGCTCGTCCCGGTCCTCTGAGCGCAGCGTGAGGGATGTCTTCCACGTGGCCACAGTGGCCTCCCTTGGCCGTGGTCATAGGCAACTGCGTCGTACTGACTCACGCCGGGGACTACAGCGATCTGCCCAGCTGGCAGGACGGCCAGACCGGGGGAACGGGAACGAAGGCGAGATACACAAGGATCGAGCCAAGAGTTGCAACCTCATGTGAAGAGCAAGGGAAGGACAGAGTGTCAGGAGGGGAGGCGAAGGGCACAGTTGTTCCCCTGCCTGCACCCTGACTTCCTGACCTCCTGACTCTGGCTGGGACTTCAGGGCAGGCTGAGTGAGCACTTCCCCCAGGCAAGGGACCCCACCATCCCCCACATCATCATCCCCCTCCTCTCCACAGGAAGTTGAGGGAGCTAGCAGGGCCAGCATCTGGGCCAGGAGCTGGGATGGGGCAGGGGGAGCTGGCATCAAGTGGGGATCTTGGTTGAGCCTCAGTATATGAAGGGTGCCTTCCTACCCCACCCCCAGACCCCGTAACCTGGTCCTGGCTTTCATCCCTAAGAAAAGTGTCCATTCCATGACTTTCTATTTCATTTCCTCTCTCTTCTACAGCTGCTCTCACTCCTCCTAACCTCCAGGCAACATGCACTAAATTAAAAAGCAAATTGAGAAGCCCCTCCTCCCATTTACCCACCAGTCCTAGCTCCTTCCTCTCTTCCCCCAACAGTCCCCAAATAAAGCCCATGTCCATGGAAAACGGCTGTGGCTTTAGTTTTGTTGCTTAAAAAAACAAACAAAACAAAACAAAACAAAAAACAGTCTACCAATCTCTAGCAGCAGGAGGGAAAGTTAGACTTCAGGAAGAACTGGCTCACGGAGAAGCAGTAGAGGAAGTCACGGGTTGGATCAGCAATGTCCTAGGAGCTGGAGGTGGGGAAGTGAGATATTTTGGGAATATTCATCTCAGTTAATGACCCAGACAATTCTAAAGCCATTAGGGGGGTTCTGAAGTAGACTGATGTGCAATTCATTAGTCAGCCCAGCTGGGGCTCCCTGCTAGTGTGGGAGGGGTCCTGCTGAAGTGGTCCAGGCCCCTAGCTCACCATTTCCGTACACCCCCATCCTGGAATCTGCTAATGCCCTGGGAGTGGGGGTAGGGAGGGCACCAAAAGCCTCCCCATCACAGAAGCTGACCCTGGCCAGAGTGAAGTTTGCCAAGGGGACAGAGGTTTAATTCTGGGGTCTCCTCAGAGCGGGGATGGGGGGCAGGAGTTTTCACCCTCTTTCCATTCTGATTTCCTTAATGGTTTTGGAGAGAGCATCAGCTGAGTTTAGGGTCCCCCGCCCCCCCCCCCCCGCAACCTCCCAGAGAAGGAAAGCTGGTGGAGGGGCTGCTGGAGCGCTTGTTGCCAGGAAAGACAGTGCTGGTCTGTTTTCGCGGAGTCTGGTTTCACATTGTCCTGTATTCCCTCGCTGGCTCCAGTCCCACTGGCCTCTTTTCGGTGACATTCTCCCCCAGGAACCATCCCTGGCCCTCCCCTCCCCCAGCCCCAGACAGTTCTTCCAGACACTCTGGGAGAGAACACAGACCTTTCCCTCCCATCTTCTGGGCTCCCCCCGTAATCCACAGCCAATCCCTCCCTCATTCATTCAGCAACTATGTACTGAGCACCAACTGTGTGCCAGACACTGGCTTGGGAGACTGAAAGGACCAGTCTCTTTGACCTGGGGACCAGCCCATCAGGAAAAAGAGGTACCCCAGGTGCAGCAGTGCCTTGGCTGTGGGAGCCAGTCCTCTGAGCCAGGTCCTGGGGGTTGAAGAGGAGTTTGCCAGGCAGGAAAGGGGTAGGAAAGGCACTCAGGACAGAGGGTGGAGCATGTGCAGACACATGGAGACGAGAGAGAACATGGCACGGCTGGGGCTGCCATGGTGGGAAGGGCAGAAGGCAAGGCCGGGAAGGTACTTTAAGGCCAGTGCAGGGCCCACAGAAGAATCAGGACTTCCTTCTGAGGATGTGAAGAGGTACTAGGGATTTCAAGCAGAGAATGAAGTGACCAGATTTGGTTTTTGGATAGATGGTTATCTGGATGAGGTGATGGAGGCTGGAGGTTTGGTTCTAACACAAGTCATTTAAAATTGTTTCTCCTGCCCTGACCAGTGTGGCTCAGTTGGCTGGGCAGCCTCCCAAAAAGTGAGAGGTCGCTGGTTCCATTCCTGGTCAGGGCACATGCCTGGGTTGTGAGTGTGTCCCCGGAGCAGGGCGCCTACGATAGGCAACTGATTAATGTTTCTCTCCCTTTATTTCTCCCTGCTTTCCCCTCTCTTTAAAAATAAATACATAAAATCTTTTAATAAATAAATAAATTAGCTGCTTCTTTCCCCAGGGCCCAGCCTTGAGTGGAAAAGAAATCCCCACCTACTCTTTGCTCATCAGACACTCCTTCCCATCCGTCTCCTACAGGACCCAGTCCTGGTCCATCTCAGCCAATCTCCGCAGGGATTCTGGGACAGCTTCAGGCCAAGGAGCACCCCACCCTCTCAAACTGCAGCCCGGTTAGAGGCTGACCCTGGCCCTCCTCGGAGACCCTGCGTCCTGGACTCAGGTTGCTAGAAAGGGCTAGGGTTCCCAGACCCATCTCGCAGCCTTTAGGCCCGGAGGACTAGCTCTTCCCCCACAGGGAACTTAGAATTTTGGGCCATGCAGCTTCTCTTTTCTTTTTCTTTTCATTGATTTTATTTATTTATTAGATTTTTTAAAAATTTTATTTAATTTTATTTTTTATTTTAGAAAGGGGGGAAAGGAAGGAGAAAGAGAGGGGGAGAAATACCAATCAGTTGCCTGGGACTGAACCCACAACCCAGGCATGTGCCTTTCACTTTGCAGGATGGTGCCCAACCAATTGAGCCATACCAGCTGGGGTTCTTTTTATTGATTTTAGAGAGGTGGGGGGAGGGAGAGAGACATAAAAACAAATATCAATTTGTTATTCTACTTATATATGCATTCATTGGTTGATTCTTATACGTGCCCTGAGCAGGGATCAAACCCACAACCTTGGTGTATCAGGAGGATGCTCTAACCAACTGAGCTGTGTGGGGTCAGGGCCTCCTTTTTCCACTTTGGATTTTGGTACAAAGCAGGCTCAAGCCTGTAACAGCCAAAGTGCAGTATTTGTGCCCCTCTCTTCTCCCAACCTCCCTCTCCTGCCATGGTCGGGAAGGCAAATGCATTTCAATATCCGCCTAAAGCAAACATAATTAGGAAGATAAATCAGCTGGAGGAGCCCCCAAAGTTTAATACATTTCTAACACCACTTGCAACAGATTTTGGTCCCCTCCGCAGTGCTGGGTTGCCAGACATTTTATTTCTGGGGAGGGGTGGTACCCCCACAGGGAGGAGCCCGATAGGTAGGAGGAGGCAATAGGGCCGTCCCCTGATCCTCAAAGCCCCTGCAAGCTGGAGGGAGGGGACCTGATTCCCACCCCTCAACCCCAGCTGTAGGAGTCAGACTCAGCTTCCTCCTCTGCAGCTGTTTCCCCTGCAAATTAGACACCCGTATGGGAAACAATGTAGCCTCGTTAATCATTTAATGAAATAAACAACTAATCATGCTGTGATGCTTTCAGTGCTTCTTAACCTCAGCAATCAGCCTGTCCAGGAGGGAGGAGGGAGAAGGAAGGGCTGCGGCAGGGGCAGGGGCTGGGTCTAAGCCCTGAGATGCTTCAGCTGACTGAAGGTCATCTCCTTGTGTCGTAGGTCTTCCCAGGAGGGACAGTCATGTAAAGAGCTTAAGAGTTGGAGGCAGAGGTTTGGGGACCTGGGTCCCAGCACTTCCCCCTCCTCCCTGGGAGCCTTTGGCAAGGCTCTGCACTTGTCTGAACCTCAGTTTTCACATCTGGAAAAAGGGAGCTGGCACCACATCTCCTTCATGTTGTTGAGGAAGATTCAGAGGAGAAAGGATGTAGAAAGCTGTTTGACCCTTTAGAGGGCTGAGCTGATGTCATCGCCTTTTATTTTTTACAACTTAGATATCCAGTGCTTTGGAGCTGGGCCTGAGGGAATCAGGAGAGGCTTCTGGGAGGAGGTTTCTGTGCTAGGGATTCAAAGGCTGGAGCAAGGCCAAAGCACAGGAAGGGGAGGTGGCCGTGCCTTGCTCTTACACCTGCCCTAAGGACTAGCATGAGCTGTAGTGACTCCTCCAAAGGCTGGGGCATTTCGTCTCCATTTTTCTAAATGCCACCCCCCCCCCCTTACCTTCTCTGAAGTCTCTGAGTGAGGACCCCATGTTGCCATGGTGACCCTACCCCAGGTACACTCAGGCTGGTTCTGAAGGCTGAGGGAGGTAGGAAGAAGCAGTCATGCCCCAGAGGTTGCCAGTGGACACCAGCAATCCGACACAGCTCTCTCCACCAGCCCCACACTCTCTTCCCCAGGAACGGGGTTCAGCTCTTTGTTGTATCCCCTCTTCCCTCTCTACCAACAAAAGACTTTGTTCTACACACTCCAGCCCCTCCCCCACCTTCCTCCTGCTGGGTTCCCAGGTCTCTCTCCATCTCTCTAATCAGTCCCCTACTCCCTCTCCTCAAGGTTGGGGGTGAGGGTCTGAGAGAGGGAGACTCCAGCTTGGGGCCAGTGGGGTGATTCCCAAGCAGCTACCTCCCAGAAGCCAGAGAGACAAGAGGGACACGCACATAAGTGCTCCTACCCCCAAGAAAATGCCTCTGCTGTTGACTCCTAAATAACAGATGTCTGTCTGCATATTAATGAGATTGGACGAATAATTGGTGAGTTTTTCATTCAGTGTCAGAATGAACCCAGAGGCCTTATGTTCATGCACATAGACACCCACTCACCAACCGCCCGCCCCGCTCTCCGCTTCCCCCAGAGCACAATGAGACAGACGCAGATGCTGGCAAGACTGACCCGCAGAGGGAAGGGGCAGACAGGGAACCGTGGTGGGGGTGGGGGGTGTCAGCAGGAGGGAGACCTCAGAGGTCTGGGACCGGGTTTGTCAGGTTTCTCCCTCTCGATTGCCCTCTCCCCAACCCCCCAGGGGCAAAAGCTTGCATTTGTGAGATTTCACCGCTGTGCAGAAGGGGCCCCAAGGAAGGTGGGAACCAGGGAGTAAAGAGGGTTGTCGGGGGGGAGGCAGGCGCTGCCTGGGGGAGGGCAACAAAGCAGTGGCTTCCTTCAGTGAGCTTGTGCCTCCCTGAGCCTGGAAACAGCCGGTCTCTTGCTCTGCTTTAGCTCCTGTGCCAGGGTGGGAGGTGGAAGAACGGAGGTTTTGGAGTCTGACAGGTACCACTTAACCAGCTGGGTTCTCTAGTACAAGTTACCTACCCTTTCTGAGCCTCTCACGCCCCTGCCCCTTGTCTCTAAGAATACCTACCCACCTTGAAAGATTGAAAGGACGAAATGAGATAGTGTCATGTATCTCTCTTAGTGCTTGGTTTATGACAGGTCACGACACATATTTGTCCTCTCCCCATCTATCCCTCAAAACGTACCAAGACAGTTGGAAAATTGCTGCCTCCCCTATCAGACCCATCCTTGTTAGGGTACGGGTTAATTAGAAGTTTAGTAATTGCGCTGGCTGCCTGGAAACTGAGAGGAAACGATAGAAAGGGGCAGGAATAGAGAAAGATGATTAGATGGCCACCGGAGAGAAAACCGAGGGAAACCAGGTCTGGAACAGAAGGAAAGAAACCACAGAAACAAAGACCCCTGAGCTAGCTGGAAATGGAGTAGGTATTGCAGGCAGGTGGAGTGAACCCTGGAATGAGCCAAGAATCTAGACTGTAGATTCTGGAAGCCCCAGTTCTCCCATGAACTCACTGTTGGACTTTACTTAGCAAGTCTCACTCACTCTTAGCAACTCAGCTTCCTCATCTGTAAAAGGATGGGGTTGGTTTGCTCTCTAAGGTCCCTTCTCATTGTGTGAGAGTTCTAGCGCCTGGGGGCACACAGAGGAGGGG